TGTAGGTCTGAAACAGAATAGAAACCGTCGCTCCCAAAACACCTGCATCACATCATAAATATTTCTTGGGCATGTGTATGATAATCTACTATATAAGAATATCAAATATATATATAATATTGATATTTTTCCAATTCGCAAAAATTACTCAAACAGCTATTCCTTCGCTTCCTTGTGTCATAGAGGGCATCTAGCTAGTCAGTCACTTGTAACCCTCTGATTTCGACCTGTTTCTATGAATTCCGCTTAATGAGTATAGCGCGAGAGGACGGTTCCATTTGCATAACGAGCGAGTTTCCATGTCATTCTTTTTTACAATTAATAAATTTCAGAACTTAATGCTGGATTATGCATTTTATAAATCGAGTGCCAATGGGAAAAGCCTTTCAATTAATGTTCATCGATGCAAAAAAGTAAAATATTCACCAAGTAAATATCTTATGACAGATATCTGTTTATTTAAAACTCCCGTTGCAAACCAAATGTGAAGTCCCTTGTCTGCCGTTGTCAGTTGGCATTGAAAATCTTGGCGACAGCCGAAGTCAAGACTTTCAGCAATAAAGCGGATTGAGTAATCATTATACAATTGGGTTTATTTTGTATAAAAGTATTATAGAAGCCGGCTGGAATTGTACAACGACTTGAAACCAAATTCAATTAATCGAATTGAACAATGTAGGCTTCATTTCTAAAAATTTAAGATTAGATTAGATTAAGATTAATATTAAGCTTAAAGAAAGTGGAATTGTTATCCAATAGCTCTTAGCATATCCACAACTCAAATTTCCATTTGGCAATTCCATTGTTTATTGATATATAATTATTACTGTTCCAATTAATATTATTAGTATATAAATTAGAAAACAATCATTTACTAGTCTGAGCTCATATCTGATTATCTGCTTAATTAATGTTGTTATTCACTTAAGATCAGGACACCCTTTCTTATTATATTTTGTTTTAAAAATTTTAAACTATATTCATATTGTTTATTTAGTCTAAATGTTAAGATATCTAATCTTAACATTTAAACTAGCTTGATCGTGTTGTAGAGGCTTTTGGGCGAAACCTTGCAAGGTGTAGAGGATTATTGCAATATTGAACTGAAAATCGAATGAAGCCATTTGGTAAGGGAAAATTCACTTGGGTCTTTTGTGCTTTCTTCTGCGACAGAGGCTCTTGGCAAGTATGCTTGGCTGGGAATGCAGTTAGTTATATTTGTTTGCGGTTGATTATTTGTTTATTATTACTAGTATTGCGTGGGTACAACTCAGCACAGTTGCTAAGGTTGAGCAAGTTTTCTTGTGCTGTGCGTTTTTATTTAAGTAACATTTTAATGCATTCTATAAATTTATATTCAATATCTCCAAATTAAAGCAGTAAAGTTTTTCTTATAAGTCTTTTAGTTTTAATTAATAGTATGTTAAAAATTCTTGAACAATAAAATTTTCTCTTTGAATAATTTGAAAACTTTATTTGTATGTTTAAGTTTAATTTTAATTCAACTATTGGATATTTTTAAGTGACAAATATTCCAAAAATATTTGTCGTATTATCTAAACTGCAAATTTATATTAAAATGCAAATTTAATCATACTACAATCAATATTTCACAATATTTTTGGTATACATTCTCTCTCTCAAATTAGTTGGGAGACGGAGGCGTGGCTAATTTGAGCAGTCGAGTATCATCATCTTTAAATTCCTTAATATTTTTTTCAAAATAATTAATGATTACTATAGGAAGTCTGAAGCGCTTACTAGTAATTCCGTATCTAATACGTCGTATACTCTCTATGATGCGATATAATCAAAATCCTCTCATTCTACAAAAAACTTTAACTAACTAACTGAATAAATTTTAGTTGTATTCCTTATTTTCATTGAATTAGTAACTATATATTCAGTACAATATGTTATCATTTAGTTAGATTAATTTGTCTATTTTAACATTTTACATATTTAAATTAACTAAAAGACTTTCATATGTTCCGCCTTAAATCCTACAAATTCTTCAACATTTTTCATATTTTGTTGAATTTTTCAGCTATGATTTGAAATGCTCATGCACATTTGAAATGCGAATTAGGATATGAGCAGATGATTGATTGTTTCAAGTGGAAAGGACTTGTTGCCTGGCATTTGGCATTTGGCCAGGTCGAATTAGGCCACATGGCCCGTAACTGTTTTGCCCCCAGATGCAAAGGAAAATAAAGGCGCCACTTGCGAACAGCAATCAGCCAAATGCATAAAATGCACATGAAATTCATAAAAAGGGAAATGGAGGGCAAAGACCAGATGGGGAGCGAACGCAACCCTTAAGCGCAGCCAGGCCAGGGCTGCCCTCTGCCACGTGCCACCTGCACATTTATTGAGCACGGTGCCTCGAGGAGGTTGTCCGCCAGGACATTAGTTTTATGCGCTGATCAAGGACCTAGTCGCACCCACAAGAAAGTGAAATTCAAGTCAGACCAAACCAAGCGAAGGGTAGCTGCAACCAACCCCCACACCCCAACGCACACAACACAACCTCCGAGAGTGAAAGACGAGCCAAAGAGCACGCGAGAGCTTTTCGCTCTCTTCGTTTTGCTCGGCTACTCTTCAGTTTCCATGGGAAAGCGCACACATAGGCGGCTCGTTTCATAGGGGTAGCTACCCCTAAGCAGCCGGCTATTTGAAATAACTATGTATTCATTGAAATATGCCTAGAGATAATAAATCCATCCACATAGACAACTTTACAATTTTATTTTTCATTAAAGAACTTTAAGACCTTTGCATAAAGCATTGACAACAATTTGGATGTTACTTAAGAATTACTTTGAAATTATATTAGCTGAAAATTCTAGATTGTGAATTTTAAAGAAAACATATTTGAAGAAATTAATAAAAGACAAGGAAATTTAATCTAATGTCTACAAATATTAATATATATGTATAATGCATTCTATTCGACGTATATTGTGAATAACATCAGTCTTTTACTCAGGGAATTTAACAATTATAATTTATATAGAAAATTTTAAAAAGTAGGCATTTTTTTTATTATTTATTAGAAATAAAATTTTTTTAATTATTTAATTTTATATATGTGATTTATAAATTTTTATTATTATTATTTTTTTTAAGGAATTTATCTTTGCTTGAAGCTTGTCCAGTCGGAGTGGATAGTTAATATTAGTCGACTATTTCATTGCAATAAACCTGCGAAAGCCACCCTCAATTCTTGATTAATTTAATTTTTACGCTTAAGCTTGCCTACTTACCCCACTGTGCAGCATAACAGGGTCAAACATAGTCGCCGCTGCCATGACAACTACGAGTCCTTTTTTTGGATTAGTTTTTTGTTTACGCCAAACAGTGCAGTCAGAGCAAAAGTTGTCAATAGAAGGGAGCACAAGCTAGAGACGTGAGCATGGCCAGAAGAGGCGTTCCAATCACAGATCTGGATCAGAGCGAACAGGAGCCAGAGCAGGAACAGGAGAAGGCGCAGGAGCCGGCGCACTTGAGGCCAGCGACACAGCCAAAAAGGCAGCGCAAAGTTTTGCAAACGCTAACAGGAAACTTCAGTCGCAGATCGCGCAGCGTCGAGGTGGAGCACCGTCACCCGGCCGATGTGAGCGGCGGCAGTGCCAAGAAGAAGCAGCAGAGCCAGGAGCGCACGCTGCATGGATTGGTGAGTGAAAAGCAGCCGAAGAAGTCCAAGTAATTAAACCTTGCCATATGCTTTGCAGTTGCAGGCCAAGGAGCAGCAACTGGAGCAGTTGCTCCAGCGTCTGTCCACGCTGCACAAGTACAACGAGCAGTTCGCCAGGGAGAACGAGCGGCTGCGCGACCAGACCGAGCAGCTGGAGCAGCGTCTGGCCGAGGCAGAGCAGCGCGTGGCCAGCTGCGAGCGCTGCCAGCAGCTGCAGCAGCAGCAGAGCCAGCTGCTCCTGCAGAACCAGGAGCTGAGCAACGATGTGGACATGCTGAAGACCTTGGTCTTTCGACTGAATGTACAAATCGAATGCTATCAGGATCAGCGACGCACGGCGCAGCCGGAGGACGCGCCTCTGGCCAGCGCAGCCAACAGCTGCTCCCTGCCGCCATTCTCCGCCCAGCTGGGCAGGCACACCTTGGCGCCCTTGCTGCAGGCCTATGACGAGTCCTTGCGCGACAAGGATGCGCTGCTCAACCAATACGCCGCCGACTTTGAGCTGTTCTCGAACGAGCTGAAGCGTGCGCTGGAGGAGAACACCAAGCTGCTGCAGGCGCAGGAGCAGCTGCGTCGCGACGTGGGCGGCTGGCAAGAGGAGCGAGTGCGTCTGCAGGCGCAGCTGAGCGTGTGCCGCAGCAAGGCCGAAACACAGACACGCAAAACGGATCTGGTCAAGGAGAAGCTGGTGGAGGTGATGCACTTCTACGAGCAGCGCAATCAGACGCTGCTCCTGGACATGAATCATCTGCAGGATGCCTATGCGCGCTGCAAAGCGGAGCTCGTTTCCCTGAAAAGTCCAGCCTCAGCTTCAGCGCCCGCTGCGCCTCCGCCTGTGGATACAAATGCTGCGGAGCTGCAGCAATGCAAGGCGCTGCTGGAGCAGCTCAAGCAGGAGCACGCCAAGGAGCGCGCCGCCCTCGAGGCAGAGAAGCAGGCGAGCAGCACGCGCATTGCCTCGCTCCAACGCAGCTGCGAGAAGGCGAAGCATGCCAGGGATCGGCTGAAGGCTCGCCTACGCATGACACTCCAGTGGGCACAGAAACTGGAGGCTGGGCAGGCGGAGCTGCGCGAGACCTATGATGCAGTGCAGCAGCTGTCGACGTTGCTGAAGCACAAGGAGTCGCAGCTGCGGGGCATGCAGCTGCGCAACAGCGAGGAGCTGGACAAGCTGCGGCACAAGCTCCAGCAGAAGGACGAGACCATTCGGAACCTGCTGCGCAGCAAGATGGAACGGCGACCCGCCGTGGACTAGCCGCAGTCGGAAGCCGGCAGCTGCAGCTGAAGCTAACAGAACACCGAGTTTAACAATTAAAAATATATAATTTCAATACAAAATACATTAATAACTTAAAGACTGTTGATTTGAAAGCTTTCGAAGCACAGATGTGAACGAGGACCTGATTGCAGCATCAGTCGAGCGTGGTGCGGTTGTTGGAATCGGGGACCAACGCTTCGCAATCGTCGCCGCCGCTGCCGTTGCCGCCGCCGGCACAGACGACGCACGCCTTGGGCACCGTCTGTTCTATGTACATGTTAATCTTCTCGAGCACCTCGGGGCAGACGGCGTGCATCAGCTGCTCGTAGCGGGCGGGGCCCAGCTGGGACTGCAACTGTTGCAGCTGCCATTTGAGGTATTCGGTTAGGGGTATCTTGTAAACGGGATCCTTGAGCACCAGCTGGCGATGCCTGTCGTCGTGGTAGGTCTTTGAATGGAAGTCATCGTACAGCTGCGGCTGGAACTCCTCCAGCTCGTGCTCGTCGTGAATGACCAGAGAATCGTAGAATCTCGGCGTTGCCTTGTCGGCGGCCTCATCTGCGGCCGCATATTGCTTGTCCATCACCTCGCCGAGCGTCTCCTCCACCAGCTGCAGGATGTGCGGCAATCGCGCCAGCAGCAGCTCGTTGCTTCCGAAAATCGAAGCGAACGCCAGGCAGAAGAGCTTTCTCTTCTCGGCATGCGTGTCGGCCACGAGCGGAAACATCTCTATCCACACATCCAGGATGCGCGCCAGGGCATCCGTCTGCGGCAGCTCCTGCACCACAGACATGAACACCGCCTGGTCAATGAGCAGGGTGCGCGCCAACAGAGTCAAGTACCAGCTCATGGTCATCGGGTATTCCTGCTTGAGGCACACCTGCTGGAAGATAAAGGGCAGGGCGGGTCGCACCAGCCGCAGGCCCATCGCGGCATCCGTCTTCAGGCAAGTCTCAAAGATGCGCAACATGGCGATGATGCCCTCCGTCCGTATATCCTCAAAGGAGCGCACGCAATACGCCACAAAGCCCTCGCCGTAGCGACTCAGATATGCCTGCAAAGGAAGCGCATATTAATGGCGATACTCTATGGACACTCGATATGGACTATATATTGATTTTACATGCGCATCGAGCAGTATGTAGGCGTGGATCAGCTGCAGCACTGTGCGCAGATTCTCCGAGGACATCTCAATGATGGGCAACAGATGATCGCACAGCCCCAGCAGCTCAGGCGTCAGCGCCGTCGAGTTGCCAATCACCGCCAGCCACAGCATGATGCCATCCTCTATCAGGTAGACGTGAGAACGTTGCTAAGCGGGAGAGCGAGAGAAGAGACGGCCATGGATTAGTCATGTAAATTAAATGCTATTAAAAGTAGCACAAAACTTATTTATAATAATAAATAATTAAACATAAGAATTAGAATAAATAAATAAAAATATGAAAGAATAAACAAATAAATGGATTGAATGGATTAATTTAATTATTAATGTTATTACTTTTTTAAAGAATCTATATAAAAAGTTAGTGAACCGGTTCACTATCAGTTCAGTTCATTTAAGAACTGTCAAATTGTAAACTTCAGTTTGACAGCTTGAATTGAATGCAATTAAATTTATTAGAGAGTTCGGATTAGGAGCAGGGACTGGAGAGTTTAGGCAAAAATGTTTACCTGCAAGTCGGTGCTCAGCTCGATGACGCTGTAGAGGAAGGGCTTCATGCTCTCGGGGACGTCGCGTATGGTTCGCACGAGCTGCTCCAGGGTGCCGATGATGGCGCACCGGAGCATATTGTACTCGTGCTCCTCGCTCTCGCGCCAGAGCAGCGGCAAGTAGGCAATGAATTGCAGGGCCTGCGGCTCGATGAACTCGCTCATCTTCTCAACGAGCAGGGTCATCGTGCCCAGGACGACGATCTTCGTGTCGCAGGCGCCCGCCTCGCGCAGCAGAAGGAACAGCGCTTCGAACAAGGCGGCGAAGTATGGATGAAAGGCTTCGGGCATAAATTCAAAGTCATCGATCAGCAGATTCAGGGTGCGGGCGGCGGCCAGGCGTATTGGCATGTCCTCCTCCGGTCGCAGCAGATGAAGACACGCCTCGTAGGCCAGCGGGCGCAGCTCGCGTGGCAGCTGGACGCCCACCCAATTGCCCACCAGCCAAATGATGCGGCGGCGCAGGATGCGGAAATTCGAGGCCTCGATGCGCAGCTCGGCGAGCAGCTGCGAGGTCAGCCACGAGCCAAAGTCCAGTTTATTGAAGAAGTGAAACGAAGCCTGGCCGACTGCGTTGTAGATCGCGTCCTTCAGCAGGATGGCCTTCAGCTCGGAGTCCTGCGTCAGCTGCAGCTGCTGAGCGCGGCGCACGAACTTGAGGACCTCGTTGATCATGACATTCGAGTGTTGGGTGAAGCAGGTGAAGTACAGGGATTCGACGCAGGGACGCAGCTCGTATTTCCAGGCGTCGCCGCCGCCGTCATCCTGGCCATAGCTCTCCGGGTCCTGCTGCCACTCGGCCAGCTCCTCGGGAGTCAGCAGGAAATAGTGCGTGACGATTTTCTCGCACAAGTACGTGACACGCTCCACGCTGAAGAATTTGCTCTGCGTCTGGGACGCGGTCGCCAGCAGCTCGTCCTCCAGGGAGTTCGCCGTCTGGTCCTGGGCAATGCTATAGTTGCCGCTCATCATGATGCCCTTGAGCAGATTGATGGCCTGAATGACGAAGTGGCTGAAGTTGATCCGTTCGCCCGCATCGAAGATCAGGGCGGTGCCCTCGTGGAACACATAGTGGAAGCTGAACTCCAGTGCCACGGGCACAAACCGAGCAAAGGACAACGAGTGCCGATCCATGAACTCATTCAGGGTCTTCATCATCTTCAGGATGAAACGCTCCAGGTCATTGATCAGCTGCTCGTTTCCCGATGCACGCAATCGCAGCTCGTAGCGCAGCTCCAGGCACTGGCGCAGTCGCTCGAACAGCTGCTCTATGAAGTTCATGTGGTCGCTGGACTTGTAGGGCTTGCTGCCGCAGCCGTAGATGAGCAGCTTCCTCAGCGTTCGCATCGCTATGTGGGCACGCTGCAGACAACTGTGTGCCGCCGGATCTGTCTTCTGCAGCTGCAGGAAGCGCGTGGTCAACGTCGCCCAAATGTTCCAGGCCATGTAGCTGAAGATTTGCGCCGACAGCTCCTCGAAGGCTCGCTTCTCGGCCATGAGGCGACGCGATGCCAGCGCCTTGATCACATAATGGAGCACGAGCAGGGTTCGCTGCTGCTGCACGGGCGACTCGCTGCACGCCTGCAACTGCTTCATCAGCGTAGGCATAAGCTCAGGCCAGCAGTCCATGCGGGCGATTTTGCTGAGCAGAACCGCCACCTGCAGCGCCACTTGGGGCACGTCCTCAGCGTCGTAGTGCTGCAGCAGGATCTCACGTATTTGCTGCTTCTGCTCCGGGGCCAGTTCCTGGCGGGAATTGTGACGCCAATAGCGCTCGATGCCATTTTTCAGATAAACGGCCGCCATCCAACGGATTTTCACCGAGTCGCTAAGCGTTGCAGCTGCAGCCGCTGCAGAGGTGGCAGCAGCCGCTGCGTCGCTGTCACCTTGCAGCTTCATGCTGAGGCGTGCCAGTATGGGAAAGAAGCCCGGCTGCTGCTCCCATTCGCTGAGCTGCGCCTCAGCCTTTTGCACAATTTCATGATTGGGATTGGCGGCACCCTGTAAGGCGGCTGCAACAAACTGCTCCGCAGTGGCCATGGCACACTCGCAAACACACACACGCACACCGAGAGAACAGTGGACAGTGGACAGACGAGTTGGGAGCCACCAAAAGTCGGCGTACGAACTTGTCTGATACTGGTTTGCAGCAAACTTCGTGAAAATTATTGATGAAAAATTACATCGCCATTCCGGCTGATGCGCTATTCAATTAGTGATGTTCAATCAAACATATCGATTGTCAACGATGAATTGTGCGTGAGTGTGAGCAATGTAATGAGTGCGAGAGCAGCGTACTAGATTTGGGAGATAATGCATTGGACATGCAAATTATATGTATATTTTTAAAGAGATTTGTAAACAAAATTGAATCAATAAAATTGTAAAAGAAGAAATTTAAGAAGAAAAATAAGTTGGCAATGATAACATCTATTTATTACATCGTATCATATATATCTTGATTCTGTTATCCATTGCATCTATTCCCCTAGCAACCAAGAAGATGCACTTTACTTAAATGACTCATGTATTGCCTATATTTACTCTAGCAAAAACATAAATATTATTACGGTCCACAAATTTTATGATACACAACATATGTACCTCTCATACATATCAGTAATAAACATATGCATACCTCTTTGAGAACTTAGCGCCGTAACAGCATACCCTATACGATTCTTTACAGCATGAATTGTAACTATCGCCATTTTGCCGATGTAGTTGGCAACGCGGCGCACACAACAGCTGACTGTGCGCTGGCAACGCGATATCGATAGTTTATATATTGGCAACGTAAACAGAATTTGATATCAGTTAAATTAATAGATAAGAGAATTATATGCACAAAAAAATTTAGTCATTTGCTGCTCAATTGCTTAACCTAAAACATGCTGAAGGCAATTATATTGATTGGCGGCCCCCAAAAGGGCACTCGCTTCCGCCCGCTGTCGCTGGATACACCAAAGCCGCTTTTCCCAGTAGCCGGACGCCCTCTGATTGCTCATCACATCGAAGCCTGTGTCCAGGTAAAGGAACTGCGCGAGATCCTCATCATTGGCTTCTACCCGCAGACTCAGATGGAAGGCTTTGTCAGCGACATGCAGGCGCTTTACAGCAGCAGCAGTATAAACATCAGGTGAGCCTCATCTTCATATACCCTGTCGACTTTAGTAGATGTGTAAATATGGGGTATATTGATTTTGAAGAGCGGTATGTTATAAGCACATATGTACATGTTTTTAGAAAAAGAAGCAGCATTGTAGATAGTTCTACATATACCCTGTTATATTTGTATGTGTTAGGTATGAAGTATGAATGATTTAAGCTAGCGTTTTTTTTACGAAGATTACTTTTATTATATTTATAAATTATATAGAGACAAATATCAGTACATAGCCTGCGTAGCATGCGTTTAACAATAGATTAAGTTAAAATATTTATTATATTGATTTGTTTATTGTGAAAATATCAGAATTCAAATGACTTAAAATATTGACTGTGACAATCGATTATCGATTATCAGCACATTTGTATCGATAAATATCAAACCCCAGCCTATATTAGTTTGAATGTGACGGAATGTCATTAGCTGTTGGAAGAACTTAATTTAACATCTTAAATTTAAATTTTACACAGTATTTTTGTTTCCGTATCACAATCTTGTTTCGATAAATATCAATTGAAATTAGATTATGATCTTAATTTTTATATCCACAGTTTGCTTGTTAAGCTTTAGCCACATTTATAGAATTTGCATAGAATCTTAGAAATGAAACCCCTCCATAAAATGCTTAAGCTAGGGTATTTATAGCATTAGATAAGCACTTGATTGATGGTACATAAACTATTTCCATTGAAATTCTAGAAAGCAGAAACAATCATAATGTAATGATATCTAGTGCCCATATATAGGGTATCTACGTAGCCCATACCCTGCTCTTAGCATACTGTGAAAGCTGACGTGTTCTGTCTTTGCCTTCTTTTAGGTATCTACAGGAGTTTACCTCGTTGGGCACGGCTGGCGGCATGTATCACTTCCGCGATCAGATACGGGCAGGCAATCCGCGCGCGTTCTTCGTGCTCAACGGCGACGTCTGTGCGGACTTTCCGCTGCAGGAGCTGTACAGCTTCCATATGGAGAGGCCGGCGAGCGCTTTGGTGACGATCATGAGCACGGAGGCGACGCGCCAGCAATCGCTCCACTACGGCTGCCTCGTCTTCGATCGTGCAAGTGGTGCCGTGTCGCATTATGTGGAGAAGCCCAGCTCCTATGTCTCCACGTATATCAATTGCGGCGTCTATGTCTGCTCGATGGACATCTTTACGAAGCTCGCGCAGATCTTCCATGCGAAGTGCGAGGAGTACAGCTGCATCAGCTACAGCAACGGCAATGGCAACGGCAACGGCAAGGATCATGGCCACATCAAGTGGGAGCAAGAGGTGCTCACTCCACTGGCTGGCACCGACATGCTCTTCGCCATGCCGGTGCCCAATTGGTGGTCTCAGATGAAGACCGCCGGCTCGGCCATCTATGCCAATCGGCACTACCTCGATCTCTATAAGCGCACCCATCCCGAACGTCTCGCCAATGTGGGCAACAAGCGAGGCGAGGGCGATGGCAATCTGATTTGTACCGTCTATCCGGATGTCTATGTCCACCCGAGTGCTACGGTCCATCACTCGGCTGTGGTGAGTATACTCTAAATATGTTGTACAGTAAGAGGTAGATATATATGAGAACTATACCCTGTATAGGCATAACGGTGAGCTCCAATTATCGGTACGGTATATAGGTACGGGAATCATTTCCCATTGTCTATGATAAATTCCAAATGTAGATCGATATATCTAGATACTCTGTACGCATTGTAAACTGATACACGTAAATAATGCGGGATCTATTGAGCAACTTAATCGATAGCTAATACCATTTAAATGCAATTGAGAATCATGTTTGTTTATAGAACGGGTTTTATCGGTGTTTTCTTAGCTTTCCAATGCACACTTCAATCCTATAACATTATAAATTTTATATGATATTTCTAATATCAATCAATTTTACTTTTTGTTATACAATTTGAAGTTAACACAAATAATGTTTATGGTAGTCGTAAATATAGGTAATGCAAGCTATCATTGCATTATCGATGACTTATAGATGTTTGATTATTGTGCTTACACAAAGATAAAAGCTAATGTTTGAATGGCTATTTCTAATGGTCATGCGCATTCGCCTTAAGCTCTCGCAATTGTTCCAGCTCTAATTCTCCATTTTCTTTTAGCTCGGGCCCAATGTGGCCATAGGTCCTGGAGTTACGATTGGGCCTGGCGTGCGCATACGCGAATCCATTGTGCTGGAGCAGGCCCAGATCAAGGATCACACCCTCATCCTCCACTCGATTGTGGGGCGTGGCTGCACCATTGGCGCCTGGACTCGAGTCGAGGGCACGCCCAGCGATCCGGATCCAAATAAGCCATTTGCCAAAATGGAGAACCCGCCGTTGTTCAACAATGAAGGCAAACTGAATCCATCGATAACTATATTGGGTTTGTTTTCCGAACTAAATAAAATCTTCAGATACAGTTAACACTTAAAATTTCTTCTCTGCTCCACAGGCTGCTTTGTGCAAATACCCGCCGAGAAGATCCTGCTTAATAGCATTGTCCTGCCGCACAAGGAGCTCAGTCGAAGCTTTAAGAACGAAATTATTTTGTGAAAATCTTGTTGGATGCCTTTACTGTCTTGTTTCTTATTTATTTATATATGCAATACCTATTATATATTATACATTTTATTAGTACGCTAATCGATCTTGGTGTTGTGCAATAATCCTTAAAACAAAACTTCGTATTTGCCATTTCATTAATTGTTTTATACGTTTCGCAACTATTTTACGGTGTTGACACTTGTTTTAGCCAGTGCTGCATACTAATTTAATAAAATAGTTGTATATTCTACAAACTGTGAGGAACTTCATTTAATTATTATTACATCTTGTAGAGATTAATTACATTAAAGACACGTTTGCATGCATAAAATAATTGTTTGTACGAGCTGATTTAAAATTGAAAAATAATTCGAATACGATATTCGATATCCAATTAGATTATACGCAACGTGAAATAATGATAGCACCTATTAAAGTTACAGTAAGAATTTCAAGAGTACACCATTCATTCTCAAAGTATTGAGTTTATTAAAAGAATATAAGTTCATATATACATATATGCATACCTTTCCCATAGAACTACGATCATTAAATTTGTCAATGCAATTATTTTGGTATTTAATATCTATATTAAACTCATTAATTTTCTTTATTTTTATTTTTTATTTTTATAAAATATTTAATTAAAAAAATATATATATATATATACAAAATTTATATTCTTTCTCTTTTCCTATTTTTATTTTTATTATCTATTATAATTTAAATTTTTGCTCGCGCAGTATGACGTTGTAGTTACGATATTCACGCGATATGCGATAATGCGATCACGGTATTCCAGCCATTGATCGTTCACATTTATGTCATGCAGCAGCAACTCGTTTTAGCATTGCATGACATGCACTCGCGGCCAGGTAGGCAGCCCACTCAAAAGAAATCACACTTATTATGCGCTCTCTCGATCTCTTCCTCTCTCTCTATTTCTACCTTTTGACTCTCTCGTCCATTGCCTTTCGACCAAAACGCGTTTACGTTCCGCGCTTTTGTCAGTTTGTAGCCGTCGCTTGTTGCTGTTAGAAGGCAAGAGAGAGATACGAAAAAAGAGAGTTGAGCGCATTCCATATCCAAAAACGTTAATATTCGATAAGCAAATACTTTCGATAGTTGTTTCCAATATGTAATTAACAAATGTTAAATTGTGAAAATAAGCAAACGCACGCAAATGCGAATATTACGAAAAATGGCTGGACTGGAATTGGAATTTTACCGCTTGAAAAACACAAACAGGTACGTGGGCAGTTCTGTTGGTAATTGAGCAAGCTAAAGAAGAAGAAGAACCAGCAGCAACAGCAACACATACGCACACACACACACATACGCTACACTGCTGCACAGGTGTGTACGCGCGGGGGCTGCGCGAGTGGCTTCTCGCAGGTAACTTCCAGAGCGCAACAGTGAGAGAGCGTAAGCAAAGAGAGAGGGAGAGATGTCATGGCTGAGCGAACGTAACTGTCTTTACTTGATTGCGTGTGTGTGAGTGTTTGACGTTGTGTGCGCAGCGTGGGAAAACTGCAATAAGCATAAGAGAGGGACGGGCGATCCCTGCTTTAGCTGTTTCTAACTACGCCACTGCCTATTGTGAGTGTAGTGTGTGTGTGCATGTGTGTGTCGCGTAACTGTTGTTGCTGCTCGAATTTGAGTTGTTTTTTCTTTTGATCTGCATTCATTCATTGATTCAATGGCAGCTTTGTTATTGCTTTTAAGTTTGCATACCGCAAGGCTGATGCGGCGTTGCCAACCACCAGCGGGGACAGCCCATTGGCAAATCTAGTCAGCTTGTCTATATAAATGAGTTTTATTGTTGTTGTGCGTTTGCGTGTTGGAATCTTGTTTGGTATCAGCCACCAGCTAAGTGGCCCATACACCTGAGCTATGCCATCGACATGCTCTCTCTCTCTCTCTTTATCTCTCTCTCACTGTGTATGTCTTTCGCTCGCTCACTGTTTATTACTGCTCTCCACAAAGGTTTACACACACGTATACATGCACACCTGCAGCAAGCGCAGCTCACTTACCTTCGTGGCTGCTTGTGGCCCACGAAGTTGATCAGTCGCTGTTTTAACCTGGAGACAGACGGACGCGGCCGTCGCAAAAGCAGCAAGAGAAAAGACAACTTAATACACTCACACACGCAATCGAGCACTCACTCACACTCGTAAAGCTTTTAGTCCAAAACTAGAAAGAAAACAAAATCAACAGTTAAAAAAATATATAAAGACACACAAAGTGGTAGAAGAAGCAGCCAGAGCAAAGAAGGCGAAAAAGTGACTTGTTTTTTGTTTGCATGTATTGCGCAGACGTCGACGTTGACGTTGACGCTGGCGTCAGCGTCGCTGCCCGTTTTGTACGTGTTGGTATTAAGATCGGCGGCGTCGTGTGTGGAAAGGCAAAACGGACAACGCACACACACACACAAATACAAAAACACACAAGCAAACTAACTGCTAGTCAGTGTGACTAGCAAAAGAAGCAGGCGAAGTACACAGAAGAAGGGCTTACATACATGCATACGTACATACATACATACATGTACATGCATGCGTACATACAAATACACACCAATACATATGTGCATGTGTGCTTACGTACAAAATTGTTTGTCTGCATGTGTGTGAAAAAGAAAGTGCAATAATAATAAAAAAAATCAAAAAAGAGTGGTGAAAAGCATACAACAACAATGAAAACAACCAGTGCAATGTAAAGCAAGAAAAGAAGAAGAAAACCAAATAAATAAAGTTAAAAAAAAACTAAATTCATGTAAAAGGATCAACCTGTTGCTCAAGCCAACGAATAACTGTGCACAAAAGCTTTAAGCGCTGGCATTTCCCATTGGCTGCTGTAAGTTGTAAACTATTTGACAAATTTGTGACACACATACTTACATACGTATGCCTATCGACATACATACATGTATACATCTATGTATGTGTGTGGCCAGTGTGAATGAACGAGCGAATGAGCAACAACAACAACAACAGCAACAAAAAGTAAAAGAAGCAGCAGCAGAGAGCAGCTCAAGACACGGTATACGTTAAAAGCAGATGCGCAAACATAACAAAGTGAAAACATATTTACAGTTACACAGACAAGAAATATTAAAAGAGCGCAGCGTTGCTGCTGCTCAAACGTTACAAAGCTTCCAAAGTAAACTGCTGCTGCGCTTTGAGAGAATTGTTGTTGCTGTTGGTTTTGCTTCTGCTTCTGCTTCTGCTCCTGCTTTGAGCTCTTGTGCATTTTTGTGTTTTAACTCTTTGACATGCGCGCATGCACACAAACATACACACACACACACACACAGACGTAGACAGAATCACAACAACGGCAACCGCAACAATTGCTGTTGCACTTGTTGCTGCTGCGAGCGTAATGCAGAGAGAAAGAGAGAGAGCGAAAGAGATAGAGAGAGCGAGATAGATAGATAGGGACGGTGCAGAATAACTTTGGCAATTGGCATTTCGCTCGCATGCAATTTTGTACGCAATCATAAGTTTCCTGTTGGCAAAAAACACTAAGAGATAACGGCACACGCCAATTGCAATTCCAAATCAAATTCCATTGCCCCTTCCAGTCATTTTGACTGGAACAATGCGAACTCTTGCGTAATTCATGTCATTAATAAATCAAAATGAGTGCAACAAAATTGTAATCTTGCCACGAACAAATGGCAAATACCCTATAAATCCACTAAAAATATAAAAAGCCTTATATCTTTTACAAAAAACATTTCATATTTTAAGATGATTGTTGATAATATTCAGAAGAGGCTTGGAAGGTGAAAGCTTTTTAAAGCTTTTCGTATTGTTAGAAAACATTTTGGATTAATAGATTAATGATTAAAATACATATGTACATAGATATCAGAAGTATGAAAAATAATCGAAAATATATATTATTTTTCACTTATTCAATTCTAATGGCTAGAAATTTATGTAAATTTTATCTATCTACTGTAGTACTATATTTTATTATTTTGCTTTCATTCTATAAGTTTCTGAAAATTGTTGCCAAACACTTGCCCAACTACAATATACCACATATCTGTAGGTAATTCATATTTCATACTGGGTATCGGTCTGACTGGTTTACCAACTTATTAATTGCATTGCCTGGCTTTTGCTATTGTCGCTGCAGTTATTTATCACTAATTTATACCAACGATATAATTTAGTATTCATTGTCTTTTCGAAATAACCGTAACATTGCTGTTCAATTCTGTTGTTTCTCTTTAATGAAGATTTCGTTGTCGTTGTATCTGTGTTTGTTGCTTTCTTCCCGTTCTAATTAGTCCCCATCTCAAGCAGCAACCCGTTATCCATTAATGAGCTACTCGACGGAAAATAAGATTTATTGTCTAGTTTTTTTATACCCTGAACCCATTGAAAATGGGAAATCAGGGTATAATGGTTTTGTGAAAAGTATGTAACAGGCAGAAGGAATCATCGCAGACCCCATAAAGTATATATATTCTTGATCAGGACGACGAGCTGAGTCGATATAGCCCTGTCCGTCTGTCCGTCCGTCCGTCCGTCCGTCCCTCCGTCCGTCCGTCCGTCCGTCCGTCCGTCCGTCCGTCCGTCCGTCCGTATGAGCAAAAGGATCTCAGAAGATATAAGAGCTAGAGAGCTGAAATTTGGCATGCATACTCGTGTATACCATAGGCAGTACGAGTTTGCTTTATTTTTTCGATAACTCATCCGATAACTTTTTTATCGAGAATAATCGAAAAATCGACTTGGTTTTTTCAGCCTAGTTTGAGCACTTTCAAGCCTGGAGACTTCAAACTTGCGTTGTATATAGAGTTAATGGACACAAAGATTTTGTAATTTACAGATTTTGGATACCACGCCCCCTTCGCCCCCAATTTATAAAAAACGCATTTCAAGTACTAGAGACTTGTGCTTTGGAATGTACACACATTTTAACCATATGATTACGCTCTGAAAGTTTCATAAAGATTGTATGTCTACAAAAGAAATTATTCAACATATAAATTGTCATAATATTGCACATTGCAGCGCAGCCCAAGCGCAGTCGCTGCTTACTGCGCAGTTAGCAGAGCGCGTGCCTATAAGTGCATGTGTATGTATGTAAAAGAAGTGCAGAATGATTAGAATATCAGCTTGGAGGGTTCAGGGTATCTCCTAGTCGAGCAGTCTCGACTGGAGCCTTCTTACTTGTTTTCTTTCGTTTTTTGTTTGTCACGGCGCGACGCATCGTCACCTCGAAAATAAAAAAAATAAAAAAAAACGCATTTCCACACATTCCAGTGAAAACTTCGCAACTGGACCTAGGCCTTGGCTCTCGGTCAGGCCTCAGTGAGTCTTCAAGTGTGAAACGAAAGGGAAATTCATCCACAGCAACGAAAAACAACAGGTTTATGAAGTGTTACGATACATAAACCTAATTAAATTCATTGGCATAATGTTTGTTGTTAAAGCTCTGTCAATTATTTTTACATCAAAAACAAATCAAGTTATCAACTCTAATGTGGCTCATAAATATTTACTACGATTCCTTCGATAAACAAGCAATTTATGGAGCCATAAATTGAAGCTGAAAAACAATAGAACAAACTGTTGCAAATGTTTCGAGTGCCGCTTAAACAAATTTGCTTTAGATAAAAGTGAGCTTAAAGTCTATTCAATCGGTTACTTATTGAGTGGGAAATGGCACGCAACTGTTACGAGCCCGAAAGGTGCTCGAGCAGTACTGATACTAGCTATTAACGTAATCGTTGAAGTTGGCGGAGATCGATAAAAACTTTCGCAATACAATGTTCTCATAAAATTATTAATTGTAGTAATTTTCAATTTAAAAATGTTAAATATGGAATCTTAATAAGGAAATGTTAACAGGAAAATCTTACATTTTTTCTGTGAAAAAGCGAATAAGAATAAGAAAGTAGAATAACAATTAAGAATAGAGAAGAAACAAGAATATTTGATTTTTTTTATAGCGGATTTTTTTTTATATAGTCAGTCACTATTTCTTGCTGATCGAAGTTTAAATCAAAAGAGAAAATTATGTTTAGAGATAACAGACGATTACTGAAAGGAATACCAGAGAGTTGTACGACAATTAATTTACATATGTTTTTGAATGATATATAAACACAGAATCGTAGCATGCGTTAAGTAATAAACTTAATATAACTGGCTATGCTTATCATAACTGGTTATGGAGTGCCTCAGCTGTTATCCTAAACAGAGAGGCGAGAGAATTTAAGCATTTGTACAGCTAATGATTATATTAGCGAAACCTTTACAATCAATAAATAAATTAGAGCATTAGAAAGCTATTTCCGCATTGCCATAGGCCATAGATCAGAGTGTCTTTAATTTTAATTTAATATAATTTGGAATGCAGTAGAATCAAGAATTTTCTTGCCTGGGAATAGTAAAATTCACACACTCTACGTACTCGGCTACATAACGGAAAAAAACGAAGCAGATACCGATGGATATAAGCATATATAAATGAAGAGAAAGAGAGAGGCAATGGGAAAGCCCAGCATAAATTGCAATCGTCTTCGAAGAGCACGCACACAAAATACTCATTAACAAAAAAAAAAAAAAAAAAAAAAAAAAAACACATTGACCATTTCCCCAGCACACGAAGCGGAAACTTGCAGCAAAAAAGACAAAAGGCTTTTGCTCGTGTTTAAGTTTTTATTATATATTTTAAATATGAAAAAAGTTATTAAATGAAAGACGCAGAAACATGCATAAAACAAAACGAAAAATATTAAAAAATTAAGAAAAAATGTATAAGAAAAACAGTTCAGAGTTAAGAAACTGTCGCTAACTGTGTTTTAAATCGGTTTTGCTTGTCTTAATTACAAAAGCTTGGACGTTGTTGTGAATACCCTGCAGGCATTTACCAAATGGGTAGGATGGTTTCATATATAAAATGCGCAACAGGAGGCAGTAGTTGGCGTGGCTAAAACTCGAGTCGTTCTGTCTGAATGCTGCAATGTGATGTGATGATTGCATCAATATATGATTTTGGATTTGTATGAATGCTCATAAAGAAGTAGGCAATATTACAGTTAACCAGAGAATAAGAGTCAGGGTATCTGCTGGCTGGGCTTCTCTAATTAGAGTGCTCTTTCATGCCTTTTTCGCCCCTTTTTTTCTTTCTCATTTTAATTACAACAAAAAATCATCATAAACGCGATTGCAAAAGCTTGTGCTCTGAGTCTTTGAGTGCGCCTGTGCACCTCGATTAACCCACGACCTTTGGTTAAGCGTGTGCTTTGAATGCCTGAACATCAACAGTCTTTCAGTCAGTCAGTCAGTCAGTCAGTCAATCAGTCGAGCTCTGCTTGATGCTGCTGTGTGTTTGCTGTTTTTCATTAAAAGTAAAACTTTTCACATTAAAAATGCCCATAAAATTGCACTTTAATTTTTGCTGTTGGTGTTTTTGTTTTTTTTTTGTTTTTGTTGGTTGCCGCCAGCGTTTCCACATTCGCCTTTTGCTCGACTTTGTCCAAACCACTTGTCGCAGCTCCAAGCTCTAGCCGGACTGGCTGCTTGGCAACCAACCGAATGGAGCACAAAATTAAATTTCAAATCGTTGCGCAGGTTAATAATTTCAATTTGACCTCTTTGCTCATGCTCTTTGCGACAGTTTTTAGTGACTTCGTGTGTCAGACGTCGTTTCAGTCGTTTGATGCCTCACTGAAAATTGGCAACGTTGCGCACAGTGCTTGGCTTATATAAATATCTTCGTAAACATTTAAAGAGCCTCTAGATAATAGAGTCTGAAAACAGGCAACAATGCTTAGCAAATTTGAGTGTTTCCATAAACACTTCATTTTGTATGAACTGAATATTGGCAACATCGTTTAGGCTCATCGTTGCAGTTAAGCATATCTGAGGTGGATCTTAAATTTGGCAACGTCGCTCTGATAAATATCGCCTCAGCTTCAGCCGAAAACTGGCAACAGTGCTAGGCTTACGCAAATGTCATCCGCATTCGATATGGCACTTTACTTGAAGTGTTTTTATTAGCTTAAAATTTGGCAACGTCGCACTGTCTAATTAGAAACTTGCCCTGCAAATTGGCAACGTCGCTGCAAATTTGCAAATTTCCAATTGGCAACCATTTGGATTGCATTTGCTGCCAATTCGCCTTGGTTGGCATTTTCTTTGAATTGCATACGTAATTAGCTTTTCGTTTCGCCAGCTGTCAAGGGTTCAAAATATTGTATAAGCAGCCACTCACCTCTAAACCCCATTCGCACCTGGCTCATCCATAATATTTATTTCCTTTTCCACTTCATTGTTTTTACTTTTTTATTTCATTTTATTTCATTTTTTTCTTTCGCAGCCATAACCAATGGGTATCTGAGCAGGGAATGCAGTGCCATCAGCCACACAGCGACAGCAATTGCAATTGATAGCAAATAGCGAAAATCCAACTCAAGTTCACTCTCGGAGCGAGCCACCTCACACATAGCCCTTAATTACGAGAGATCAAAGACAGAGATAATCTCAACAACAACGACATCAACAACATAAAAAGCAACGACATCAACAACAATTGCTTCAGTAGAATCAACAATAACAACATGCAGGTGCCCGAACACGTTGTCTCCCTCTACATAGCCACATGTGGCCAAAACGGACCCGGCCTTGGCTCGGATGAAAAGGAAATTATACTGATGGTCTATGTGCTGCTCGAAGTGGCAACGGGACAGGTGAGTTCACGAGTCAACACACCTGTTGACGCCATTGTCTAAGCCCTTCAGCTCTGCTCGCTCCAGCAGCGAGTGTTGTTGAAGCTCAGCTCTAAGCGCCGCCTACTGAGCGACGCCATTTTGCGGAGCGTGTGCGCTGTCGTCGCTTAATTAATGAATACCCGCACACACACACACACGTATATTTATGAACACATGCACACACATACACGCAATAATACGTTATTGTTGTATAAGCTGCACTTTCAACTGTGCGCGTTGATTATGTTACAACAACAAAGACAGCGTCAACTCGACTTTGATTCGTTTAAAAGCAACAAGTACTTAGTGAGCTCAACTGTGTATATATAGACTCGAATATACCCTGTAGAGCAAGCATGTAGAGCTGGTATTATAACAACTCTAAGCTATACTTGGAGATATATGTTATATAAAGTTGTACATCGAGATATACTCGACTGATATAATCTTCAATTGGTCTTCACCAAAGAGTCTTAAGTATGTCAAAATATCAAGCCGAAGGCGTTAGTTGCCGCTGCTCAATTTGAAGTTTGTTTTAGTTTTTTTATAGACTCTAATCTATATTAAGTAGATGCATAAATATCAAGATATGCTCTCTCGCTTATTTACTAGACTTGAGCTCAGTTCATATCATATCAGCCGTAATGAATAATTTATATTTATAATACTGAGACTATCTGAATTAGAAAGTCAATAAAACTATATTCTAAAGAAACGTTTACAGCTTAATATTAATCAGAGTTACAATTATAAATTTGCATTATAATGAGTTCCCTTGTATATCAAGAAAATTATTGAATTTTATATTTTACTAGGATCAATTCAATATGTATCTAAACATTTTCCAAGCTGGATAAACTAGAGAACATTTTCAAAAATTTTACTTAATTTGCAGTTTGTATAGTCTACTAAAAAAGAAAGTTCTAGCTCGATGTCAAATGCAAGCAAAGGCTACTCTATGCTATGGGTCTACAGGGTATTCAATTGATATGAATGTTGTGCCTGTTGATCACTGCCATTTGCTTGAGCTAGGGAACATTCCATTGGTCTTTTCAATATAATCAACGACAACTTTGAGCTGTCAGTGAGAGATGGGGCGGAGGCAAAGAGGCGTGCAGCCCCTATCCGGCGACTATATAAATATAAGTATAGCCCATAGTCAGGCCGTATTTGCATATTTTGAGTTTGCCAAGCGATTGACACTAATTGTTTAAAAATGAAAATGACTAAAGCGACGCATCGGAGTGGTGGCCATTGCGAAATCCCTACAAATATACATAGGTATATATAAAAATATATATGACTTTGTGCAACACGTGTATTTATCTTTCTAAAAGCAACCGATTCCAAGTAATACTTAAGTTTTTAGCTTAGTTTATGTATTAAGAGTCTAAATAGTTGGAGGAGGTGTGATAATAATATATCCAAATTATTATGATAAATATATACTCTAAAAACTTTCCCGTTAAACATATTGCTTAAACTTTAGGAAAATCTTGATATTTTCTCAACAATTTTCATTACATTGTCTTTTCAAGTGATTGCTTTTCATAATAGCTTTTCCATTGCATAATCACGCTCTGCAATTTTCCATTTCAGAGGCGTTTACACATTTTTCGAATCAAAGCATAAATAAACGAAAATTGGCTTTTTCATAGGATTTCGTAATCGATTGTCTGCGTTCGATATAGAGGCACATTATTTGATTTAGATTTCTCACTGGAAACTCGACAGTTTTATATTTTCATTTTATTATTTTTCCCTTGTTTTACTTTTCTTTTTTTCCGTTTATTTTGCATTTTTCATCGCTTTTATTTGCATGCAAAACAAAAAGCGAGTCTTGGGCCAGCGTCTGGTCAATAATTTCCATATACGCAATATTATTTGCAAAATGCTTGACAGCACGTTACGTAGACAAGCTCTGCAGCAGCCCCTCCCTGCAATCCTCTAGCTGTTAGGGTATAGAGTGCGCTGCGTGTTTGGCAAGAAAATGGCTCTGTATATATATATATATATGAGTATCTGAGTATGGGTCTGTGCATCACTGGCTGGGCCTGTATTTACTAGCATTTAACTGATGTTCGTCTGCCTCGCCATAGGCTTTACGTCTAGATCCGTCAGCCTGAAACTTTTGTTTTTTTACGACTTGAACACGCAATATACATTTCTGTAAGTGCATCACCATTTTTCTCTTTTTCCGATTCGGATGACATTAAGTGCTTTTTAATGGCATTGCCTCTCGAGAGATATTTTAAACGTCTCGGAATTATCTATGGATAGGGTTAGTACTCGGGTCTTTATTTATTTCGGGGTCTCATTATTAGCCACGCTTTGGCCAAATTATGATTAATTTTCTAAATGCTGCTGGTAGTAGCAGCCAGGCAAAACGAATTCAAATTTGAATTTTTAGGTATATATGTGTATAAATTTATATATACATACATTTAGACTTTCGCAAGTCGCAAGACTTTTCGGTTTACTCTTTGGCCGTTATTATGGTAATTTCTGCGGTGAGTCCCCGGCTTGGGAAGGCCAGCCACACTAAAGTTCATCAAAGTTTCATTAAAATCTGGCGCTGTGGAAATTTTTGGATGTTTTGTTTTTGCTTTTTAAATATTTATTTATATTTTTGCGATCAGAGTTCGGTAGGTCAAACGCGCTCGAATAGCTGGCTTTCGAAAGTGCTGATTTTTAAGGCTGGCAGGTGTTGGGCATGCGGTCCTAAATGGCATGGAACAGCTCAGCGCATCCCATTGTATAAGACTTGCCAAATTATAGTAAAACAGTTTTTGTTTGTTCAAATATAATATTTTGATTATTTTTTGCAAAAAAATATATGAAATTTATGCGAGCATCGGGCTAGTCGGAATTTATTGTTGTTAAGCGGATGAAAGTTACCGGGTCCTAAAAGCCGATTAAAAATAGCTGGGAATCAAAACTTTCTACGGACATGAATCTGCGCCACTCACTTGATACACGGCTATATCTCTCGGGGCTATAGTACGAAAACAGAATGTGTATATTATATATAGACATGTCTTTATGGGCTGGTCTCATTTGCCGACTTAACGCCCAGATGTCATCCATGTGATTTGTAGTCTCTTAACTACACACGAGAATTGCTGAAGTCTCTGCGCATAGCAAATCAAAAATCAAACTGGATTGTGACTCGACTAGCAGATACCTAGCTTATATGCAGCTCACTTGAAATTTCCTTATAGAACTATTTATAAATATATTATTGATATATATTTAAAGTCGAACGGGACTATGATCCAAATGCTTTTATATTCAAGTTCTATGTATTCATAGTTTTGCTATACAATTGCTCATAGCAATAGGAGTTAATAAACAGGGTTTGGAAAGAACACTGGGAAAGTCAGTAAATTTGAATTTTACTCTCTCAGTGACAACTCTCGTCACATGTAAGAATGACCCTTTTGATCGCATTTAACAAACACAGGGTATTCTAATACTAAACCGAAAACGCACTGAGCCACAACGGCGCCGTCATCAAACTGCTTTTAGCTGGCCACAGAGAGTTTTAAGCATTAGCTTTAATGGCTTATGAAATATCTGTAAACTGTATACATAGAACAGCCGCCGACCATAACCGAAATGGAATAAAATTTAAAACCCTTTCAAATTACTGCAAAAAGCATTGATTCAGTTGTTGGCCAGCTGACGCATAGCCATTGCTCAAATGTTACACAAATCCAATAATTGAGGGGCCCCCTGCTTGACTCTATGTGTCTGACATTGACATGACTATATATATTTAATATATTTCTTGATTTCTATATGCAATTAAACTGCCAAATGGAGCGCAAGTTTCACTTTTTGGGCAGAGCATATCGTTGATTAGCATTCAAATTTCATCAAAGATTATTATTAAACATATCATACATTTATGTATACATGTATGTATATTATATATAATATATATATATACATATATGCAGCTGTTAGAAATCTGACGTCGTTTTCCTTATCGCAGTGTCTACAATGCGACAAATTATAGTAATATTTGATATTTATGTAGATTAGGGCTTAGTTACTGATATATGAGTAATGTTGACCCCATAGATTACAAAGCTTTCTTATTTTACTAGGATTAATGATTGACTTTAATTATTATGTAGAGACGTTTAAAAAAACCTTTTCTAGTGATCTATAATTTTTAGTTTTTTTTTAACAATTTTTTTTTTTTTTTTTTTGCTGTTTTAAGAATTATTAGTAATATCAATTATATTTTATCTCCACATACATAATACTACATAGAAAACTTTTCCATTCAGTTCCTCACAAAAATCAATTACAATAGTACAAAAGATTTCTTTTTAAGCCATATTTTTAATTTCAAGATGAGATCCTATGATCATTTATTTAAGTTTCTCGGCTCATCATTTTGAAGCAGCCATTAGTTTAATCTGCTTAAATTGACGTTGAGTTCATTGAACCCGTTCGAACAGCAAACTGACAGAGCCAATTTGTTGCTTTCTAAATTGAAAACGTAAACTGAAAATCTGTCGAGAGTTTCCTTCCGTGCGAAAAACTTCCTCTCCATCAGCACGAATTTTCTCCTTTTGTCTTTCGAGTCAAGTGCTATAGATTTCTTGCATCAGCAAAATTGCCTTGGATTGACATTTACTTACACTCACACACACACACACACATGCACAGACAGTTAGCGTAATTGGCATGTTAATTACAGGCTGGTTATGACTCGAATGGCAACAATTAAACTTAATTAACATTCGTGTGCAGCTCGGGAGGGAGGAGGACTTTTGAAAATCACACAGAGAGTGCAACTTTTGCATAGAGTTTTTATTGTTTCTCGCGAGTTGAGCTGAGAGGCCGATTGGCGCAAGTCAGCCCCGTTGCAGTTTCTTCTAGGCCAGGCCAAGATGTCTGCATTGACATTCAGTTAATTTCATTGAGTTTTCACTTGGCTAAGGGGGCCACGGGGCACACGACACAGAACTGGAACTCTTGGCACGTTTTCATTGATCTAGAAACGGCGGCGGCGGCACCGTTTAATAGATCGCTTAATCTGTATCATATATTCCGGTTTTGATCATGTCTATATACTTGTATAAATATATACTTGGCTATTTTTCAATGGGTCAATACGAAGTGGTCTAAATTTTCCATAATTGTGAATGTTTCAAGTATGACGAAAACTGTTTTGCATTTCTCTCCTCTCTGCTCTGTCTCTCCTCTGCTTTCGCTCTCACTGACTCGCTTTTCAGTCTACCTCTTTCCATCTCTTCATATATTCATCTCCCTCTCTCTATCTCTCTCTCTCTCTTTCCTTCTCTCATTGTGTCAGCTTTGTGGCGTATAATTAGCTCGCGGGCTTAACCCTACTTTGAACCCACCCGAAGGCGAGAAAATCGTTTTTTTCCTTGCTTTCATTCTTGGGTTTCTGTTGTTGTATTTGTTTTTTCATTTTGTTGAATTTAACATCAGGCGACGAACTCATAAATATTTCATACACGGAATCCTACCTAGTGCGTGCATGGTGTTATATATTCAAAAGCTATGCAAATCGATGGCATCAGAAGTCAGAAATCAGTAATCCAAAAGAAAACAAAAATGGAAAAATAAAAGGAATTTCAAAAAACAGTTTTCTATATGTTTAGTTTTCGCTGTAGCTTGACTTTTTTACATTTATTTATTTCCTTTTTTGTGTATTTTGCATAGCTCAGTAGCTACCTGCAATCGCAATCGCACTCGGAGTCGGTTCTCCATTTCTAATTACTAATGCCCCATTCCCGATACCGAATTCCGAATTCCAAATCCGATTTTGAGCACACATCCGCTGACGCAAACATCAACGTCTCTCCATAGGCCTGTTTCAAAGAAGGCCTGTTTCCAGATCAGTTTTGAATATGTTAAACAATTTTTGCACCTTGATTTTAATGAATCATGATGCGGAGACATAGAACCCCACAAGAAAGGCCGGGGCACCAAGTTCCAACTAAGCTCCGCTCTCTAGTACACTGGACCCAGGTCTCCTATCTAGCGACAATATTTGATGCTTAATTTATTTTTTTCACTATTCCCATATAATCTAATAAAAAGTTTTGTCTGCCCCACCTTGAGAACCAACTGCTTATCAGGCGTAAGCATGTAGCACAGTGTTTATATTACGCTCTTGTTGGAATAGTGTAATTTTGCTATGAGCTTTGTAATTCATTAACATTATATATCTCCAAATTTGAGCACTCATGTGCTGGAATGCAATGGAATTATTATTTTTTTTTAATTTGGGTATATTACCTATAGATATTATGAAGATCCTAAACTACTTATGTATTAAATTTTAAATTTTATAAATATTAAGAATTATCAAACACATTACAAATTTGTAGTTTTCAACTAGGAGAGAAACATTCCACATTTCATAGAAATTACCGTTCTGAGTATGTCTTTATATACCAGTTTCAATCCCTTCAGATTATAATATAAAAGAATATTTTAGCAGAAACTCTTTTTGATTACTAGTTCATAACTAGCTACATAGATATGTAGAGATACAAACTTTATATCTCAATTTACTTTACTCTTACTTTTCTATTTATGTTGCGCTCTTTAGCTTTGTCTAATCGCTGCTCTATGCTTTTTGTATCTTTCGTAGATCATTGGCACCAAACAAATACTCGTACGCCCTGATGGTTACTTCATTAAGGATCGCACCATATCTAGCTCATCGGACAACTCGAATGCTACAAACAACACAGCCTGCTCGCCGCCACTAGCCATAGGCTATGCCGGCGATAATAGCTCAAATAACAACAACAACATCAATGCAACAAACAACATCACAAATGCAAGCGGCAGCAGCGGGAACAGCGCCACGAATGGCATCTGCCTCACCACTCTGGAGAACAGTAACGAGCTCATATTGCCCATTGCGGAGGCTCAGTCAGCTGGGAAGCCCCTAGCCGAAGCGATCGAGGAGGTGAGTAAGAGCAAGAAATGTATGAGAAGAGAAGCCGATATTAAAGCGAGAGAGGTCTGAGTGAGAGCAAGGAATGAACTTTATATGGGTCAAGAGATCGACAGGGAGAGAGAAAAAGTGACAGAAAGAGAGAGAGAGAGAGAGAGAAATAATGGGCTTAAGGTGGATATAAATAGGAACGGTATATCTAGGCCAAAAAGGATAAAGTGAGCGAGCATAAGATATGGGGATTAGAGCGGATAACTAGAGCAATATGAAGAAGGCGGAATCCTCAAAGAAAAAAGAAACAGAATGAAAACAAAATGATAGAGTGATTAAGTTAGAAATCTGAAAAAAATGCGACATATATTTGGTAAAGAAAGGCTACAAATCAGACGAAATATAGTAACTGTGTCAGATGTGCAATATATAGAAGGGGACATAATTCACACTTCACAGTTTGCAGCTGTCGCGCGTGGGAGTCGAGTGAGCGCTTCAGATAAGATTAGTTTAAAAGAGGCAAACTCACAAGAGTAAGAGCGAGTGACAGAAACGGTGTCAGATTGAGTGTGATAAGGTAAGAGCAATGGACAAAGAGAGACAAAGAGACAGTGATATAGGGTAACAGGGAGAAAGAGATTACCAAAGCACGCGCTATTCTATTTTTATTAACAGTCCATGTGATAATCCCAGCTGATCTTCGAACTGGACTAGTCGCCAGCCTAAGACTGGAAAATTCGAAGATCCAAAGATAAGGGAACGCCATAAATTGTTCAAAAACTGATGCGAACTGGAATCGTTGGGATGTTTTTTCTCGTCGAGTCACTGGGGATTGCATTTGCCCATTAGGTTTCGTGTTTCTCTTTCGCCCCTGGACAACGCCACTGATTGGGAGCTGTGGAAGCGTTCGACTTGAAATCTTATCAGACTCTCTGATAAGCAGTACGTTGCGCCGCTACTTGAGCACTTCGACAAGCTCCGCGGTCCCCCTTGCTCACGATTTCTCGTTACGGAAATGTAAACGCTTGTATAGTAAATACCGATGTAGTACCAAGTAGACGTTGTAGATAAAGATTCTCTCAGATCGGAGTATGGGTATTGTAAACTTGGGTGCAGCAGTCGGTGTTACATTCACGTGTGTGCTATATGCATATGGAAAAACGTTCATGAACTATATTAACTAAAATCTGAGCAACTGATTATTCGAATGACTAATTATGCATATCGCACATATAAATTTTAAGTGTTTGGTTATAAACCTAGATATCGAGCCGTTTATATTCATTCACGAAGTGAAACAGAGTCTACAAACTTGAAATTTGGAATGTTTGCCTGATAAAACTGTTAAGATTTTGCTGATACACCCACTAAAGGCGTGTCAAATGCAATAATACTATATCTGATATCTTAGAATCGTTACTAGTTAAATGGGAAATGAAACTTTGAATATTTGAATATGATCATTGCGTGAATGGTCAATCGGCGTAAAACTTTATCTTCTACATTGAGCACGTGAGTTGTTGTTAAATGCTTTGTAGTTCCGAAGCTCGTCATATAGGACAGTTAAGAAATTAAATATAGAATCTATATAGGCTTAACATACAATTAGAGGCTAAGACCTTATTTTGCGTGTTAAGGAAAATGAGAAATGCCATCTGGCATTTATCTAAATTATTTTATTTTTTTTTAAGATTTGAAAATGATTAACATAGTTATTTTTTCTATTTTTTGTGACTACTCTCTTTTCATCTAATATCGTTTATATAGAGTGACTTTAAGAGTATTAGCATTGTCGCAGTCATGAAATCGAAGCCCATAATAAATCCAATACTTAACAAATAGAATGAGTCTTGCCTGTGACCTCCAACTGAATACCCTAATGAACTCTATAATCTCTCAACTAGAGAGATGCCTAACTAACTTGGATCATTAAGACGCTGCTGTACTCTGCACCCGAGTGTCATTAATCTACTTTATGGAGTGTGTTGACGAATGTACGTCAATTAGATGTCATATTATACATCATATATATGTATGTATATGAATGCAACTTTGGCAGCCGATCCGTACGCGACACGTGACGTAATGCCAGAGAAAAAGAGAGAGAGAGAGAGAGGGAGAGTAATAGTGAAAGAGAGAAAGAGATAGCGAGAGGGAGAGGGAGAGTAAGGCAAAGGGAAAGGGAAAGCGCGTCTAGCTGTCGGCTATTGTGAGCGTCTGCTTTGGCTGGCATACTAATTTGCCTGGTCAATACACACTTGGCTATTAAATGACGAGAACGCTGTTCTCGCAAATATTTGCCCAGGGGAGCGCCGTTGCATAGGGCCCGGTCAGCTGAGAGGAGGCTCGAAGGCAAGCTCCGAGGGCGCTCAGGGCTAGCTCAGAGACAAGCTCTACTCAGAGATTAACCCGAGCTAATGCGACATAAAGCTGCTTGTTATGTTTACTCACGATGACATGGCACAAAAACACTATAAAACTATAGCTAAAACGATTTGTTTTTGTTTCTGTTATTTATTTTCCATGTAATTGACAATAATTGCAGCAGCAGCAACAACAACAACAACAACATCATCATCAGCAACAACAAATAATAAACGGGTTTAAACAAATTGCGTTCGTAACCTAGAAAATTGCACCAAAAGAATTAGCATAGAGCCAAATAATCCCCACAAACCTTTCGTCAGTTCTTAACCGTTGAACTTTGAGTTTTGACTGAGGTTTTATTGTCAGCGTCATTGCTATAATTTGCACTAAATATATATATGTTCATGTTCATATATAGGATGTATATCTCTCTTCGGGGTTTTACTCAATTAACAGTTCATTCATTTCGTATTAATTGAATATAATATTTGTTAGGAATGTTTTAGCTGGTAATATTAATTATATAAAATATTAAAAGTCATTCGTGAAATTTATTTTTTATATTTTGTAAACATTTAATTCAACTCTAAACTACAAAAAAAAACCTTCAGTTATCTTAATATGCAGGAATTGGTTTTTACGGTAGAAAATAATCTTGTCATCAATAATAAATACAAAATAAAATGAATTTGAATTGGCCAATATACTTATTATTATACATTATTATCAATTGTAATTTTATAAATAAATACGTACGTCACATTTCAAATTTCGTGCAGTTCAAACGAATGGTCAGATAGATAGATAGATCTAGATCAACTCAGCTTGATCAAGACTATAAGAAGCTTATGGGTTCTGCCAGTGTGCTACATATATTTTGCCAAACAATTATAACTTATTTTTATACATAATATATAATAATATATAATAATATATAATAATAATATATAATAATAATATTATACATAATATATAATAATACATAATAATCTGTGTATTTCCCATTTAATTAAAAACACTTAATCTAGACAGAAATCAGGTTTTTATCATATAAAGAGCAAATTCTTTGGGTATAATAATGATAAATGTATACTCGAAAAAGGTCTCATGTCGACTCTTATATATACTTATATATATTCTAAAAGTTTGTTCATCTATTGATTTGTCTCAAGTTAAAGATTTGATCTTATGTAATAAGACACGTAAATTCCATGACTAATTGATAGATCTGGATTTCAGATATATATCTGAAATATTCCACATACAAAATATTCAGAGGAATTTATTTTGATTTATATCCGTATGTTTTTCGTTGTAGTTCGATGGATATCTGCGGTCCTTATCGCTGCACGATACAGAGATCAAGCTGATCACCGATGGGCAGCTGCCGTTGCGTCAATGTCTGCATCGGGAGGCCTGCGCCAAGGATGTGGAGCTGCCTGCCTATTACAACAGATTCAGTGATCTGCGCAAAGAGTTCCAGCGCTATAAGTCGGGCGATCTATCGCGTGCCCTCGTTCCACTCAAGGACATCAAGAAGATGCTGCAGTCACCTGTGCTGCCCATGCCGCAGTCCATTGGCGAAATGCTTAAAGGTGAGCTTTCATTGTTTTCCATCTGACCTCGATTCGTTAATGATTTCGTTTGTATCTCCATTATGCAGAGCTGAATGCAACACCTGTGGAAGATAATGATTTCTATATACGCGAATCTCGCGATATGGTCACTGTGATTCAATCATTGCTTCAGGCGGGTGAGTTTAGTTTGGGTTTTTTGTTTTTAATTGAGAAACAACTTACATTTATTTATGTTTTACTTTAGGTCATAAGTTTGATACTAATGAAGTTGTAAATCTTGTACTGGAGCCTGGAATTTGGTAAGTTGAAATAAATTAGTTAGTTAAAGAGGTAGTAAAAGTTGATTCAGTTATTCACATTCAAATAATGAATAATAAAATTAATAATATGAATAATAATCATAATAATAAAATATTATTTGTATTTGTATATGAAAGAAATTTGAATGGATTTAATTATCCGATTAGTTTTGTATTTTGTTTGCAAATACAAGTATAAGTAAATAAAAAAATATAAATACCAAAATAGAGCCGCAAATAAATTATTTATTAAATAAGTAATAATATTCACGGAGTTGTTGTAATAATGTTGTTAGGGTAGAGTCAAGGATTGGGAAAAATCTTTATTAAACTAAAATTATACACACTTTATTTAGGGTATTCCAAATGAGGATATGTATATATTAATGAATGAATGCAAAACATTCATTTTTCGAAATGTTAAGTTGGTTAGACTTTTACTTACTTGTGGATTTAGTTTAGATCTCCTCAGATCTCTCAGATCATATTTATATATATATTTATATCTATATTAGGAAAAGGAAAAAATATCAGTGAAAATACAAAATCAAATATCATATGCTTTAAATCACTTTGTACCTAAGGTAGTGCTGACTCAATTTGTGTAAGAGCACTTCACTGACTGATTCAGTACCTGCCTCGCTTCGCTTGACTGTACACTCTCTCATTCAGCGAGACTCACTCAATGTCTCACTCTCTGAGTGGCACTCCGAGTCTCAAATTCAAGCACTCCACAGTCATTCTAGACATTCAGCTCTCGAGCAGCGGACAGTCTTTTCGACGCTCCAGCTTTGTGTTAATGTCTGCACTATTTCAAGTCAGCCCCAGCCCGAAAACACTCAACATATATACAAACAAATGAGAAAGACTTTATATTTAAAAAAAAATAAGACCATTCAGAAAAATAAATATTACTCAGAGCTGACTGTGAGCCAAGCGTCGCGACAAAAATCTTGGAACGGATCGCGGCTCAGTCGGCGATTGGATCGGTGCGCGATAAGAACTCGTAGCCGAGGCCCATCTCTCAAGTGTAGGAAATTAGAAACGCATCGATTTGTGAGAGTTCCTGATGAATTGTGACTATTGTTATCGCTGAAAAAGAAGAAGAAGAATAAGAAGGCGAAAAGAAAAAACAAACATATGAAAATGAAGTGAAGTAAAAACACGTTTGCCATAATCTTTAGCTCGACGAATAAGTGTGTCACATAAATAGAGTAAGAAGCTCTACTGGGAGGCAAAAACTCTGAAATAAAAACCCATTAAAAACAATTCCAATTAGCGTTCAGGTAAGGCAAATCAGTGCAAAACAGTCTCGAATACCATTTCAGATTATGTGTCACAAAATTATGATTAAATTTGACTTTTTGTTTTTCAACATTTGTGCTGTCGCTGCTGCTTCTGATTATTCATGTTTTTGTTTGTTTGTGTTGAGACAACCTCAGTGTGTGTGTTTGTGTGTGTGTGTGTGTGTGTGTGTGTGTGTGTGTGTGTGTGTGTGTGTGTGAAAAGTCAGCAAAAATGTTTATGTTCTTGAAAGAACGAAACGTGACTTCAGAGAAGAAACTTAAAAACTATATACCTCGGTATACAAAATTCCACAGACGCCCAAGTCTATTACAGGGCACAGCTTTGGAATTTGTCAAATGTAGCTTCTATATACAAGCAAACACATTTATAAATATGTATGCATATGGCTTAGCTCCTCTTACTTTACAACGAATTTCACTGAAATTGTAAACTGAAACTGAACTTTGCATTCTTTCTGGTATTTTTCTTACAGCTCAATTGACGACGAGGTGGACGGCAATTGCATCGTGCGTGCTCGTGGTTTGCCCTGGCAGAGCAGCGATCAGGACATAGCCAAGTTCTTTCGCGGACTCAACGTAGCCAAGTGAGTAGCGGGAAAATGGAGCTCCTATAGCAATCTAAAATTGATCGAAATCGAAGTTTAATTACACTGAATCGCATTGCAAACAGCGAGTGGACTGAATTCAATTAATTTTGATATGGTTGCTATTTGATAATAGTTTTCTATATACACGATGAGCTGTTTAAATTGTATGTTAGATTAAATTGAGTCTGTTTGTCATGGCATAAATAAATGCTCAATCAAAGAATTTGATTGATTGATGATTAAGATTTCCAAATAGCAGAGCAACTCAGAATTGTTTAAGGCTTAGCAAAGGTTGCAACACATGAGAAGAGCTAAAGCTTAATTTGAAATATATTTTATAACTATGGATTTTTAAAATTTAATCCTCATCACTTATATTCTCTGCAAAATCGAATAGAATCTATTGTAAACTCTATGATTAGAGATCTTTATATATAGGGGTATTTCAATAATGTATTTTATGCTCTCAAGAGTATATTCCTTCACTCAAATTTATGGAGAATAGATGCCTTGCCATGTCTCGTTCTGAAATCATTGTACCCTCTGCAAGTGTATACTCACAGAGATCGACGTAACCCATTGATAAGCTGTGCTCGACGCGCAGCTTATCAAAGTTCAGCGGGTCGGCGGCAGATTACGGCCGACGACCAATGAAATTCTTAGCTATTTGCCAGAATTTTCTTTATCATATGCGCTCTTCATTAAACCCACTGTGCTCTTCCCTTCTCTCCGCTCGTCTCACACACTCTCTCTCTCTCCCTTATTCATGCACATGCAGAGGCGGCGTTGCTTTGTGCCTTTCGCCGCTGGGCCGGCGCAACGGAGAGGCTTTGATTCGCTTCGTTTCTCAGGAGCATCGCGACATGGCTCTGAAGCGGCATAAGCATCACATCGGCTCGCGCTATATCGAGGTGTATCGCGCATCGGGCGAGGACTTTCTGGCCATAGCCGGCGGCGCCTCGAACGAGGCGCAGGCGTTCCTCTCCAAGGGCGCACAGGTGATAATACGCATGCGCGGACTGCCCTACGACTGCACGCCAAAGCAAGTGGTAAGATGAAATGACTCTCGACTCTGCTCCTTCATTCAGAATATACTCACCTTCTCCCTCTCCTCTTGCAGCTGGAGTTCTTTACCACCGGCGAGTCGCCCTGTCACGTGCTGGACGGCAGCGAGGGCGTGCTCTTTGTGAAGAAGCCCGATGGACGCGCCACGGGCGATGCCTTTGTGCTGTTTGCCAACGAAAGCGATTCGCCGAAGGCGCTGGGACGCCATCGCGAGTCGATCGGGCAGCGGTACATCGAGCTATTCCGCTCGACGACGGCGGAGGTGCAGCAGGTGCTGAATCGATCGATGGACCCGAAGACCTACGAGTCGAACAACCACGGCCAGCCGCCGCTGATAGCACAGTTGCCCACCATGCAGTTGCCGTTGCTGCCGCAGGTGGGTGCCGCTGCTGGCCACGCCCTCAACCCGCTGACAGCTAACGCTAGCCACGCTAACCTGTGCCCCCCACTTACCCATGCCCCACAGCACCTCATCACCTCGGGCACCACCAAGAACTGCATTCGACTGCGCGGCCTGCCCTACGAGGCGATGGTGGAGCACATTCTGCACTTTCTGGACGACTTTGCCAAGCACATCATCTACCAGGGCGTGCACATGGTCATCAATGCGCAGGTGAGCGAACGGGATCATCTCGATCCATTTCTGGAAGGTTCACGAATGTGAATCTATGCAAATGATAATTGTTGCTTAAATATATATAATGGGGATCTCTTTCAGGGCCAGCCCAGTGGCGAGGCCTTTATCCAAATGGACTCGGAGGACTCGGCGCGCCTCTGCGCTCAGCGGAAGCACAATCAGTTCATGGTCTTTGGCAAGAAGTTCCGGTATATCGAGGTCTTCCAGTGCTCTGGCGATGATATGAATCATGTGCTGAATGGCGGCTTGGCCTCGCCGGTGGCGCCGCCGCCTCACCCCAGCCATGCCCATTTGGCCGCTGCTGCTGCTGCTGCCGCCGCCGCCGCTGCAGGCAAACAACCGTCGCTGCTCTCTCCGGGTATGTTAGCTCAACCGCCGCCGCCACCCACCGGCGCTCAGGGCATCGGCTCACACTCGCACACACACCCACACTCGCACACACACACGCATGCGCACGCACACCCACACGCTGCAGCAGCTGCTGCGGCGGCTGCTGCTGCCGCTCATCATGCATTGCAAACGTCGCCGGCGGCCGCAGCCGCTGCTGCGGCCAGCCTAATGGGCGCCACCTCCCACGCTCCGCTCACGGCGGGCACGGCCAGCGGCTTGGCTGGCTTCATGAGTGCCACGGCCCCGGCCACCATGTCCAGCCACTCGTCTCTGTCGAGCAGCGCCCTGGCCCAGGGCGGCCTTACCGCCGCTTCGCATGCCGGCTATCCCTTCAATCTCCCGCTGCCGCCCTCTGCAGGCGCCGCTGCTGCTGCAGCTGCTGCCGCCTCCAATCCCGCGCTGCTCGCCCAGCAGCAGGCGCAGTTTATAGCGCAGCACAATCTGCTGGCCCGCCAGCAAGCGGCCGCCGTAGCCGCCGAGCAGCAGCAGCAGCAGCTGTATGCCAACGCCGCGATGCTGCAAACGCATCAGCTGTACATGCAGCACCCGGGCGCCGCTGCCGCTGCCGCCGCCGCTGCCATGGGCGGCCAGCCGCAGTTTGTGTTCATGCAGCGCCCCTATATGCAGCCCTTTCCCATGGGCTACATGTCCGCCGCGGGCTATCCGTTCCCAGGCGCCTCCTCAGCCGCCGCGGCCGCTGGGGTGCCAGCGGGTGCCAGTGCGCCGGGCGCTGCGGCAGCGGGCAATGCGGCCCTCGCACTGCAATCGCACTCCATGAAGCGCTCCTATGAGAATGCCTTTCAGCAGGATCCGGCAGGGGCGGCGGCTGCAGCGAGTGCTGCCAAGCGCGCCCTAACCCGAGCGCCCAGTAGCGTCTACTCCTACTATAATCCAGGCATTTAGTAGCTCTCCATCATGAATGATGATCGATGATTGATGATTGATGATTGATACGGAAATCTTTGGACATGAACATTATTGATTACTGAATGTACTCAATCAATTTTTATTCTGCTTAGCTTATTTCTCTTACACTTCAATCATAATTGAATGGTTTTTAATTGATCGATATATAAAATCAATCATGATTGATTTACTTGCTCTTAGAAGTTCTTTTCTGTTAGTATTTAATTCACTTGATCAATCAAATTTGATTGATAGGTTATTAACTCTTTTCTGTCAATCATTCAATGCCTTCTTATTATGTCATGATTGATGCATACTTCACGCATATTACTTAATCCAGTTTCAATGGAACTCTAACAATATGAAACTCCGACTCTTCAAATACATTCCAAGTTATATATATTCACTTATATTTCATACACTTAGAGGGTCTTAGTTTGCCCTTAGTCAAGATTGATTGCTTTTCATTTTCGGCTCTTGCAATGCATTTTGAGTGGCGATATGGGAATATAGGGTATGTCTACCCTATATACATGTGCATTCCATTGCTCATCTTGGCAACTCATACATCAACACACACTCACATATACACACTCACACACTTATACCAGACATTTCTAATTGTAAATTTTTATAGTGAAATTTCGTAGTCGTAAGTCAAACGAAAAGTAAGGAGTTTGTTTAAGGTCTAAGCATTACTTACATATATCTGTATATCTATATCTATACACCACACACGAACACGCACACATACGGCATACACCCTCCCCACACACACATAGACACAGACACAGACACACACAAACACAAACACATCCCGGGCAAGCTAACAAATGTGCAAAGCAAAATTGTTTTCGTCTGTTTCTCGATTTTCTTCCAAATTGTTTGTAAACTAAAAAGTAATGAAGCTGATTCGTAAGCTATATAATATTTAACTACTAAGTGTAATGTGTATGTGCTTGTGTGTATGTGTGTGTGTGCGGGTGTTTATGTGTGTATGTGCGTATGCGTGTGCGAAGCGCTACTTCAACAACAGAGGCTAATGTCCTTCAGGTAGCGAGCGTTGGCTGCGTGCTTCCGTCAATCGATCGGTATCTGAACGTCTATGTGTGGGTGCCACGCCCATTAAGTGCAATTTAAAAATTATTATTTAAGCAAAGGCACACACACACCCGCACACGCTCACTGCCTGAAGGGCATCAGGTGTTGGCTCATGCGTAAAAAATCGAACCTAAAACAAAATGTGCAAAACTCAAAACTCAAAAAAAAAAAAAAAAAAAAAAAAAAAAAAAAAAAAAAAAAAAAAAAAAAAAAAAACCTTCTAGCTTAAAGACTAGCGTTATTCGTATATACCACATATATACCATATAAAATAATATTAATAATAATAATGGAATACCCTAGCTTTAAGTCGTACAACTTGTAAAATTGGTTGGTTACACAAAACATTTTTGATTAATATTTAAAAACAACGAAAAGAAAGTGGAACTAAGCACTAGAAAACTTTCCTGTGTCCACCTGTAGCTGTTGCCACAGCCACTGCACTGCGATCTGGGCGACACAACACGCTCACACATCAATATCGTAAATGTAATCTCGATATGCTATATACTATATCCTACATATGCTCATTATAGGTTCGCGCAGATCGCAGTGCTCAGCTGTGGACGGTCTCTAACACTCCGAACTCATAAATGGAATTTGAAATTTGATTTTGGACGTATTTTAAATTAAATGATCAACGCATATACATAGAGAGTATATCGTATATCGTAAATCGTTATATGTATACCATTAGCCGATAAGTGTGCGTAACTGGTGTTAGTCGCAAATTGGAAATTCTATCGATATATATCAACTCTGTGTGTTCTCTGTCATCACTAATTTTAGTTTATAGTCAAACTCCCCTTTTACTCTCTCCCTCTCTCTATCTCTCTATATATCTGCCACTCTGACTCTACCAATCAGATGCTCGTATATTACATACATATGTATTATTCGAGCTACTCCCAAATTGCTTTTGTTTCATTTGTACGTTCTTAGCGCTTTAGTGTTTGATATATAGTTAACTGACATATCTCTTTTTATATATATTTATATATATGGTTATGGATATTTTTTGGGTTTATGCTCTAAGTATATATCTACAAAATACAATTATATATAGTATGTCTGTATGTCTTTAAAAGGTAATTGTATATGTTCTTACTGGGCGCTATAGATCGCACTTTATAAACCAGAATTGTGCCGAGCAGAGAACCAAACATAAAATATAGATATTTGCATAATATTCAACAAACAAATATTTACCGATCCTAACTCCTCTTCTGCGTCTAACAAACAGTTTTGCGCTGCTTCTTGCATTTCTATATAAATAAACGGATAAAACATACAAAATTGATATAAAAAGCATGGGAAAGATTTTTATGGCTTAGCATCTAAAATATTTAAATTGTTAGTTAACTCCTAGTTCATACGACAATCGAGTGGTTCCCCATGGGTTTTTTCTGCAATATACATACATTTACGATCTATGGCTTCCATACAAAAGAATAAAACTCATAAGCAGCCACTTAAAAAAAAAATACAACAACAATTTGATTAATAACATATATAATAAACAAATACATTTGGAATAACTTAATTAGCTTTAGCACCTAAAACAAATATTTTTGATATTTAGCCTAGAGACAATCGAACTTTTATTACAACAAATTTTTATACTTCAATAAATATACATTTCGCTACCTACATATCTATGAATGCTCGCCAATCTTATATCTCTTCCTATCTATCGACCTCTCTTTGCAATTCTCATGCCACTTAAAGTCAACTTAAAATCTTTCTTATCTATTTGATATCTTCTTTATATATCCTGATCAATTTATTAACGTCAGTTGAAATGGTTTAATCAATTCCTTCTCTAGCCCTCTACAATCACGTTCATTTATCACTCATCACTCTATCTCTCTCTTTCTGTTGAGATATACGTATTTGTAACTCTCGGGTCGGGGCTTGGGTCTAACTTTACACACATTTTCAGGCGCATCCTCTCTGGGCTCTTGTCTCTGTGGCCGCAGCGGGTGCTTTATGTAATTTTTGATGGCGTTACGAGTTGCTAAAGTGTTGAAATTGATAGATGACTTATTTTGGATTTGGATATTTTATGGTCTATATACATTTTTGTCTCTCTTGTATGTGAGTGCAACTGCGTAACGTCTAATGGGAAGCATCTAATAAAATGTAAAATGTAATCTGCAATACCACCTAGCTTTATTCTATAGACACACTCATCTTGTATGTAACAATGAAACGATAAATTGGAAAACTATCGCCAAGCAATCAAATCAAACCTGATAAACAGTCAATAAGAAATCGATCAGCTAACTAACTACGTAATCGATAAGCCATAGGCTGTTATTGGCATACAATAGTCAATCATGTATCATGAGCAATCAAAGCAGCAGTCGATAAGAAATCGATAATAAAATAATTCATAGAACAACAATAGGATATCGATTGACGTAGTCGGTAGATAACTCGTAAAAAATTAATTGTAAACCTGTAATTGATAGCCAATCGATTAATTAGCGACAAGTGTTTATATAATCATCGATAAGTTAGCGATAACAATTCAAACTGGTCCTCTGCTGCTTTTGTGTAACTCGTTGAGGAGCTGGTTGTGCTCTCCTAGACCTAACTGTAATCGCATATATATTTGTTTGTACCATGATCTAACGATAACGATAACGATAACTTGACTCTCTACACATACGCCGTCGTTGTTGTCCATGGTCCAGCCCTTTTTCTCTCTCTCTCTCTATGTGTGTGTGTGTACCGGTTTCTACTTAATTTTTTTTTATTACATTTTTGAAGGCTGGTTGGTGCTTGGATTAAACAAAAAATCAAAAATGCAAAAACTGAACGGGATAGAAACATGTCTTAAAGTTTACTATGTGCGCAAAATGTATTCATGGTCTCTGGGTAAACTGGTAAATATATATGTATAAATATAAGTAGGAATATATATGTGTATATTCATATATATATTTATGCTTACATTTTACATATCTTCAAAATCAAATTACAATTACTTTATACTACATGTCTACTCTACCATATTTTGCAAATGTCTAAACGGTGAGTGTTTTTGAATACGATTATATTTAACTTGAATAACTGTGATAAAACGATAAATGATTTAACAGATAAGAGCACTAACAACGTATCTGAACTAACCCTAACAAGTACAACAATATCTACTAAAACGCAACTCTCAACTCCAGTCTGAACTTTTTCTTTCCCTTCTACATCTTGTGTGTTTGCTTTCTCTTATCCTTACCGTTGGCTTCTTCCTCTTCTTCGAGACTAACACACTATACCGCTCCGCTTATAATTGAAAAGAAAAATGTTATAGTATACCCAGCCATACTCACAACACTGACTTTCAATTATTTTATTCTCGTTCTTTAAGTTTTATCTTGAAATTATGTCTCCGGATTTTAATCTATTCCATATTCCTTCGACAGGTACCACTGTACTGGGCGCGCATTTCGGTGCTCACTTTCCGGCTTATGGCGCACCTCAGCCGCCGCATCACTCTCCGCTACTGGCCACGCCCCGTGCGCACCACGCCCATGCCCATGCCCACGCCCATGCGCATGCCCATCACCACCACCATCATCATCATGCCTCCGCATTCTATCCGCCTCCCCTCGTCTACTGGCCGTATCCCAGTCCACCCGTATCGCCCACCACGTACTACAGCCAGCCAGGGGCGCATTCTCCCTCCCAGCATCAGGCTATGGTAAGTTGGCAATAAAGTCAAATAATTGACTGACTGATTGATTGACCATTATCGTGCAAAGCAAATGTTTCATACAAACTTAAAGATTTAATTGCATATTAATTTGAAATTCCAGTCCCTGTTTTATCATGACCTGAAATGATGCTTATTTATATATATAACTTTTTATTTATTTATATTTTTCACAGTATCCGATGGATTTTTTCCCACCCTCGCCGCTCTCACCGGCCAATGCCGGCATCATACTCACGCCCAACAAGAATGCCGTGCCATTTGTGCCACTAAAACAACCATCCAACAACAACAACAACAACAATAGCAGCAACAATAACAACAAATTAACAGCCACGCCAACTATTCATACCGCCAGTGTATCGCAGCCGACGACACCAGTGCCAATTGTGAATGGGGGCGAAGTAGTTGCCGCTGTTGCGCCTGCTCAGTCTGTGAGGGCGAATTCGACACCGCCGCCGTTGCATAGCCCGGACACGAACCACACGGCGAGTGTGGCAACGCCCGCATTGAAAACCGGCAGCCCAAATGCTACAGTGAACTCCTCGCCCATTGTCAGCAACTCCTGCGTGGAGCTCTATATAACGTAGATACTCTTGCTGCCTTAAACACGCTCTCTCTTTATTTCTTACACTCTCTCGCTCTAACTCTCACTCTCACTCTCACTCGCTATTGAGAATGAGAATTTGTCTTGCCAATCGAAGAAACTTGTTTGTAGTCTAGTTTAGAACCAGCTGTAGATAAGTCGCGAACCACTAGCGCAGAGCTAAGCGGCGAATTGCGGCATCATCACTTAACGAAAGGAATCTCGCCCCATTCAAAAACCACAAATCAAAAGGAAAAGAAAACTGAAATTGAGGAGAGAAATTCATGAATTTTTAAAATAGAATTGGTTTTAATTAATGCTTTAAGTAGACGCCCAGTGCAAATTGAAAAATCTATTTATTATTGAAATGCTGCATTAAAAATATTTAATATACACACATATATATTCCAAATATACATATTAGCGAATTAGCAAAAGAAAGCAAAAACAAAACAAATACTACAAATTTATCCCTAGTCAATAGTCAAATTATTTATATAAATATATATTTTTTGCAATTATCTAATTTTAACTGCGTGTTATATCAAAAATATAAGAAAACAAAAAAGACATGGAAAAATAACGAAAATATTGTGCAATTGTCAGTCAAACAATAATAATAATAAAACTAAAATAATAGAATATGCGTTGTTTCATAATAATCATGTTTTGTTTAGGCTAAGCCATCAAATTCTTGTTACTTGTGAAACCAAGATATCTATTTTTTTAATTTGTTAAGTTTCAGTTCGAAAAACATCAACACGATATTATCAATTGTTTTCAAATATGCAATTACTATAAAATAAATCAATAAATGAATCAAAAATTTTAAAAATTTCCCTTTCGTTACTTAAGTCGCCTTGCACGTAAATAAATATCCTCTACTGGATGGGAGTTCTTCTATCTAATTGGATTCAGTCCAGTTGGTTGTGGTATTTCCTAACTCAATGCCAGGCGAACAGCAAGAGCTGCCGTTATCTGCGATCGCGCTGTTCCTTCTGTTGACACTGCCAACGCGCCTAATTAGAAGACGAGTGCGCAAAGCTGTCAGAGTAAAGCTCAATCAAGACGACTCAAAATAAAATTAACTGTGCGCGGTGCTTTCGAACTCAGCTTTCACTCAGCTCTCAGCTGCGCTTGAAGCTTTGTGTGCGCATCCTAAATCAAAGAAAAAGCTCGCTGCTGTCGCTTCTGTTAGCCTGGTGTTTCACTTCAATAAATGCTGCAGCAAAACAGCTTTGGTTAATATAAATTTGTGTTTTTATACTGCTCATGCCCTGCGGATATTTATTTCCAGTTGAATACCAAATTTTATGTTGATTTGCTTAGTTTTCGACCAGGCGAGCAGCATTAATAATGCAGCTGCTGGCTGTGCTTTTAGGCACTGGAGTAGCGCTTTGCCGGAGCTTTACTTACGGTTATTTGGCGTTATTTGGTTAGTTGGCGAAACAAAAATCAACCACAACAACAAACGCGCTCATGAGCAGCAATTTTTTCTTGTCTTGCTCAGATCTTGCTTACTGCAAAGGGCGCAGGCGCCTACGGACTGCGTGTGAGTGAGAGCGAAAGAGAGTGACAGCACATGACAGTAGAACTTTTGCGCTCAACTTGAAAGCAAGACGCAGTGTGGGCAGTTTCTGTGGTGAGTATCTTTTGGCTCATCTCCGTCAGCAACTTCACCACAGCGCTCAGTGCTTTCCCTTTGTCTTCGTATCACTCAATGCCGTATGCATTGGGGATTGCTGAGATATTAAGCTACCTGCCTTAACTGCTTACCTCTCCTCATCTTGGGCAGCGAAATAGTAAAACTCCAAGCACAGCCAAGGCCAATCAAATTAAGTTAGAGTTCATTCCATTTATTTTTTTATTTTTTTTATCGGTCTTAAACGTATTGCCCGCCCATCGAGTAATGAAACACATTGAATATATAAGTAAATTAGAGAGCTTTATTAAATTAAACACCGCACTGTTTGAACGCATATTAATAACTAATTAATTATGAACAACAGTTGAAGCCATAAATAAACACCTTTGATTGCTGATATCTGATTTGCTGATAAATCGTTGACAAATGGCGTTACAAACGGACGAAAGTCCCACCGACCCGTTGAAAAAACTGTACGGTCGTTGTGAACCATCATCCGGTCGCACCGTACCATAAACCACATTTAAAATAGATTAAAATTTCTTTTTTTTCGTGCTTCTATCTTTTTTTTTTATCAAGCAGCTGCACCTGATGACGGCTCGAAAAATCTCCTCTGCATGATAATTTATCAATGGCTGCTGTTTTGGACATTCAGCTAACTGCTGATGTCTCCTCTCTCCATCCCTCTCTCTGCCTCTCTGTGGTCCACTCCTCGGCGGTCTCCGGGGCGCCTATCAAAAGTGCATTAGGCGTGGTCCTGCGGCGCGCCATTTGCGTTGACAACTTCGTCCAGGCCAAACGAAAAGAGCAAAGAAAATAGTTGGTTAATGCGACAAAAATGCAGGCAATATATGTATGAGAATATGTGTGTGTGATTCTGTTTGTGTGTGTGTGTGTGTGTCACAGCTAGTGAGCAAAAGGTTTTGTGGTGCGCGATTCGAACCACGCGCCGTTTGGCATTTTTATGGCCGCACACTCGAGTTGGCAATGCACTTCCTCTAATGCAGCCGGAAATGGCGAATAAATCTCATTTGTAATCGCCAAATATATGTATGTACACATATATATTTTCATATATATGTATATACATGTATATATATTATAAGCACTTTGAACAGTGCGAAAAAAGTTGCGAATAGTTGGGCGCAAAAGTTTTGCGTTTCCCACTCGAAAGTAAGTCAATAAAAATGCCTTCAACCAGCCAATGCAACACAGAACAAACAAAATAGTTCCCAAAAAAGTACCAAAAAAAAAGGCAGAAGGCAGAAGAAAGAAAAGGAATGTCGGCATATTTTGTAGAGCTTAGCGACTTAGCGACTGTCGCCAACTGGCATTGAGAGCCGCGCAAGGGCGCTTTCCGGTTCGTATTAAGCCATCGAAACTTTTATTGATTTAGCGGCTTTACTTTTTCCAATTTTTTTTTTTTTTTTTTTTTTGCTCTGTTGTTGGTCTGTAATAATTTTCAGTCATGGCATCGATTGAATATCATGAATCATGGGATTAGCTCTATTCGGGAATTCAGATAGCAGCGTAAGGCTATATGTTGACTGGGAAAGAGTTTTTGAGCCTCGACAAACATGCGATAACAACTTTTATCGAAAAGGAATTCGAATCGCGAAGTACTTCCAACTTTTGATGAGAAAAGATTCTCCCAAATAAAAATGGGATATCCATTCAGTTTGGGGAGAAACAAGTTGTTCTCTATAAATTTTACGATGACTTTGCGGGATCCATCATTCCAATAATAGTCGAATCGGAAAACATATATGAGCTTTTTTTGGTTCTAGATTTGACTAAGGAATTATGTAACCAATATCTAAATGTAACTCTGAAGAAGTATAGAACTCTTTGTTGCCTTTGATCAAACAACTATGTTCAGTTCAAACTTTCAAGATTTATACTTTACACCTCCTGTGAATAGATCTCGATTAAATACCATAAAATTGAATTAATGATGATGATTTTGACTCAATTTCTCTTTTTTCTCTGTATTCGAAGATCTGATATGCTTCCATTCATAAATATTACTCGTACAATATATTCAAGTAGTAACAGCAGCAGTTCAGACATCCAATTCACGATTAAATTGCTCAAGAAATATTCTTGGAAGTTTGTTTGAAACTATCTGGAATGAAAATAGAAAAAATGGAATATTTAATAAATGGTTATCATTAAAAATAATACTAAAAATAACAAAAAGAAATATTCAAACGTTCAGCTTTGAAGTTCTTCAAGCTCTCAGTCTCACAACACAAAATTTCCAGCTGCGTCTGGAGCTCAAAAAAGAAAAATAAGGAAAGAAAGGAAATGTATAGAAAAAGTTCAAACAGCATTTCGACACCTTCACGAATTTTGACCAAATATTTACCCGCAGGATATGCACTCCAGCGACGTGTGCCTCCCTCGTCTGCCCCCTCCAAGAGCTGCCCCACTTGCCCCCGTTGTGCGGCCCTGTTGCCTGGTTGTCTGGCAAGAAGAAAATCAATTTCAGGCACATTACGAGAACACAACCCGAACGGAATTTCAAGTTGATTTTATTATTTACTTGTACTTGGGATTTGTACTCCGTACTTTCGTATTTGTATTTGTATTTTGTGTGTTTGTATTTGCTGTTTGACAGATTTAGCTGAATGCTCACACAACAGAGACTTTAAAATTGCCCAAGGCCGGGACGGCAGAGGGCGAGGCGAAAAATGACTGCATTGCGTCCTTTTGGGACACGTTATAAGCTCTGCCTGCCTAAGCATTGAGGCATTCGCCTCACTCGCCCGCCCTCCCCACGCTACTCAAATAAATCGAAATATTTCGAGTGCGGCGGCCAAGTGGGAGCTGAGCAATGAATCCTTAAGAGAGCTGCTAGCGTGTCGTGACGTGACGTGACACGAATGGATGCATGCCGCAGAAGTCAATGGGTTGAAAAGTAATCTTAGGGCATTAAGGGATATATGAAACTAGTATCTTGTCGATAGTCGATTATCAAAAATCGATAAACTGAGTTATGAGAGATTTACTTTTAATAGACCATAATCTATTTGATTTTTAGCATATGTGAATTACTTTGATGTACAATAAATGTTATATTTATATTTATATAGACACGCGCTCATCCATCATTTTATAGCAAATAATAGAGGTTGGGCTCGTAAATGGCTGCTTGAGGTTGCTCATTAGGGTGGACCAAAACGGCGGCATCTAAACTCAAATTTAGAGTCAAAGTTTTTCTTTTAGCTTTTATCCGATTTAAGCTAAACTACTTTAGGCAATTGATTCTCAAGTGGGTGTGTGTGAGTGTGTGGGCCATTACAGAATGTCTAGCTCTCCCGCTCTCTCACTCTTTCTCCCTCTCTTTCCCTCTATGTGTCTTTCTTGTAGTGCTCTCCCCCCTCTCCCCCCTTGCTGGCGGCGACTGAGCTGTCGCTTTTTGATGTCTGTCTTCGGCTTTTTTCTAGCCATTTTTTGCCTTTTTTTTTTGCAGCTCTTGTGCGATTTCATTTACTTTGTGTAATACACACACACACACACACACAGCCATATCCTAGGTGTGTGTGTGTGTGTGGGTGTCTCGTGAGGCAATGAAGTGCATTTGAAGCACACTTGATGCACGTACAGCACGCAGCGCCTTTTTAGATGTATTGTAAAAATGACTGCAGTGGGCGGCACATTTGGGGGCGTGGTGCTGGGTTTGTCGACGCGGTTCGTTAGTTTTGACACACACACACACACACACACACATAGGGCAGACAGGAATAGGAAGTGGGCGTGTCTGTGTATGGCGTCTGTTTGATAAGTGGCAGCAATTTTTTTTGCAGCTGCTGCTTCTTCATCTAGCACTCCTTTCAGCTTAGCCACTTTGTGTGTGTGTGTGTGTGTGTGTGGGTGAGTGGGTATGTATGTGTGTTGTTTTCCAGCCTGACATAGAACGTCAAGCAGGCATCCTTGCTTGATCCTTTGGCAAGAAACATGAAGAATGAATAAAAAAAGGAGAAACGAACTGGGTCCACTAATGAAATTGTTAATTTTTGCTAGCAAAGTCACGTACACAATGTGTTGATGACGCTCGAGTGTGCCACGCCCACATGCCCACAGGCCGCTGGCAATTGGCAAGGCGCCGCAAAGGCTGCCAGAGACGAACAGTCAGGGGATGGAGGGGTGGCGGGCTGAAGGATCTCATAAGCTGCAGCATTTTGGTAGACAATTTGCGAGCTAAACTGAATTTATGTGCAACAGTTTTTCTTGTTACTTTGTTTGCTTTGGGAAAATCGAAAAGTTTTACTCGACTGGGCGCTGTGATTTTCGCGTGATTTGTGTTGCAATATTTGAGTACAAAAAACAGTTATTTAGCTTATGGCACACACACACACACTATACAGCACGTGCATGCAACGACTTGCCTCAAAGCCAAAGCCGAAAAAGTCGCATTGCAGCAAAATTTTTGTGTTACGCTTGCCAACTGCTCCCTGTGAGGGGCAGGACGAGGAGGGGGGCTGTCGAGGTTAGAGGGGTAACGGGGAACTGGTTGCCTAGCCATTAATACCATTTACCTATATCTTGGCCTGCGCTGGCACGTAGCCCAAACACCATGCCAGAACTCCCTCTCTCTCTCGCTCTCTCTCTCTCTTTCAGTTGCCCAAAATGTATATTACGTATACGCCAAAGTGGCTGACTGACTGCATACCCTACCCACCAGACTGCTCTACTCCACTCTATCCCCTGCCCTCGCCCATGTGGTGCCATTTTGCGCCTCGTCGCTTCTTGTGTTTTGTTGCAAGTTTCGCCTTGCATTTCATTCTATTTTATTCACGTTTCTTTTCGCTTTTCTTCGTTCCTGTTTCAGTTTTTTCTCTTGCCCATTGTATTTATGCACAAGTGCAGAACGTGGCAGCAACAAAATGTCTGCGTTGCATGCAACATTTACTTTTTTTTAGGGTTTTTATTTATTTTGATTCCTTTATTTTTGTTGGTTTGCTATATATATAAATATTTTTTTTTTTTGCATTTTTATTGCCGCTTTGTTTGGCACTTCTTAGAGCATTTTCCATTGTTGCGGTTACATAAAATTCAAGTGCAATGAAAATTCATTAGAAAACAAAACAAATTGTTTGCCATTGCATTATTTGCGGATTGTGGGAATTGCGGGGAAGACGAGGGGTTGGGGAATGTGAGCACTTGAAATGGATATGTTTAGGGTCACAAGAAATGCTGAAGTCAGTTACAGCGAAGCAGGGGGAAAGTTTCCAATTTAGATCAATAATGGAATTTAGATCAAATAATATGCTCCACATGGATGGAAATGCTAACAGTAAGGAAAACTAAACTAGAGACATAAAGAAATCCTTTACAACTACAAGCAGTACGTAGGAAGTCTTCGTTCAGGTGAAATATAGATTCAAAGAGATAAATTCATATAAACAAATCCATAAAGCAATTTCGAATTGGATTTGTCCAAATTGACGTCTCTTTAGGTTAGATCCGATTCTCTACGCTCCATCCACACAAATCGCACAGCAAGTGGCTAATCTAATGAAATATCTACGTAAGCTATGGCTATTAGGTGTAACGGCTTCTAAGCGCAGCTTCCCTTTCACCTGCTGCTGCCATCCTCGCTGCCTCCGTCAATGTCCCGCTTAGTGCAAACATCTGGCAAAGATTACACAACATTTTCTCACCTGTTTTCACAATCAATTTGCGACCGTCATCAGCTGTAATCTTGGCCAAAAAGATGTGGGTGCGCCACATGGTCAATACACACACACACACATACTCATGGAAACGCTTCAGCATACTCTCGCCACACGCACATGTGGCGTATACGTAATCTGTTTAAACACACAATAAATAATGAAAAACTGCGCATATGCGAATAAAGCTGAAAGCGGAATTTGCATATAAAAAGCGCCGAGGAGCGGGGCACGGCGAAGAAGTCGGGCAAAGAAAGCACAACAACGAAAAGCCGTAAGCGTAACGTATAATGGCCAACAAACAGGAGCTGCTGGAGGGGAGCGGGTGGGGAGGGATCTCTTAGCAGCGACTAGCTGGTCACGTTCATACCAGAGGCAGAAGGGACCGCGAGGTCTGGGCGGTAGGTGTGGCAATCATGAACATGCCATAATGTTTGTGACCGCGACTATTAAATCAACACACGCGCTACCAAACTCACACACATACTCGCACACACACACAACAATAGAAGGAGTCGGGGTAACATGAGGCGGGCGGTGCTGGGGTAGCGCGTGCATATTTCCTATGATTTATTATTATTTCGTGCGGTTTTTCGCTATTATTTAAATTTTAAATAGCTGTAAAGTGCACACACACACACACACACACACACACACGCACACAGAGCTACACTCGCCCACTAGAAATTGTATTTGCAGGCTGGTCTCTGATTTTATTATAGTCCTTACAGCGCTTGCCTTTTAAAATCCTGGTTGCAAGTGGTTGTTGTTGCTGTTGTTGTTGTTGTTGTTGTCAGTTGTTGTTTTTGTTGTTGTTGTTGCTGGTATCATTATTATTATCGCTGTTGCCATTGTTTGTTGGCATGTTGTTGCACGGGCCATGGCTGCAGCTACAGCTGTTGTTATTGTTGTTGCTTTCGCGGCGCTGCCATTTTGTGGTAAATAGAGTCGTTTAAATGCATACAAATAGTGCCCAATTCTCTCTCTCTCTCCCTCTCTCTCTCACTCCCTGTCTTTGTTTTATGTCATTGTGTGCTTGTGGCAAGATTTTATAATAACATTCCATAATGCAACGTTCGCATGTCACTCTGCACAACATTAACAAGCCACGCAAATTATTATTTAATTTTTTTCGTTTCCTACATTCGGGTTACCATACCCGCTGCAATGGTCACCCGCATGGAGCTGTTAATAATTCGGTTAGATTTGCATTCGCCTGACTTTACCTGCAGAACTAAGTGAGATTAGCTGAAGTCTGAAGCGCTGAAATGCCTTCAAAGCAAACTTTATCAAGTAGCAGGAAGAAGCAAAGGGCTAAGCTTATCTATGTTTAGTTTTCCTTTGAACCAAAACGTTAATGCTTGCATTTCATTTCATTTCTATTGTTAATGCTATTTCAGTTTCATTTATATTTCGACATATGCTCAAATCAAATTCCATCTTGACTCTCTGAAACTGTGAATAAAGCAAAGTAATTCCTATTTATCATAATGTTGCGAGTGCTTACAGCAGGGAAGAAGCCAACTGTTGGCCCCCAAATCCATGTCACATGAATAGAATTCAAATATTGCCGCAACACCCAGACCGTTTGGGTGGCCCCGAGTTGAGCTGAGCCGAGTTGAGCGGGCGGCTCATTAGATGTCACGAGTTGTCTAGGGCGCTTAGCGGATTTTGTGACAGGCGAGTGGCAGCAACAGCCAGTTCTATGTCAGCCACCCAGCCAACACACTGCCACTGCCACTGCCACTACCCAGACTCATGTCAAACCAATCACTTGTA